AAATACCCGACTATCTTGTGTGTGTGTGTGTGTGTGTGTGTTTTTTTCTCATATTCATTTTTACTTTGTTGTGCACTGCGGCAACGAGAACGGCAAAAGGCAAGACGAAAGATTAGCGAAACAAAAACTGCACGTGCATCACGCTTGTTTGTGCATTTCTTTGTTTGTCGTCGTTGCGCGACTACGAGCTCGTAACTTCATAATTTTACGTTTTATGCAGGTGAACAAAGGACAACGATTTTACTCCTCCTTTCCTGAACTTAGAGACAGTCTTTTCGAATTCAACTCCAGAAAAATTCGCCAACGTTTGACAAACTGCGCGAACTCACTTTTTGATTTGCGCCCGGGAATCATTTGCATATCAACAACAATATCCATATCATGGTATTTAATTGTGATTTTTACAAACGGAATTCAACAAATAAATCAACTTAAGGTGAAATAAATAGGTAAAAGAATGTTTACCGTGAACGGTATTCTTGACTTTCTTAATACAGACTCGATATATGCAGTTTTGAGCCATTTTTACGTCTGGCAACGTCTTCCACGTTTGTAGAATTCATCGCAACGCGGCTGAAATACTAACAGTTTTAAATGTATAAGCAGCTCACGCCCGCCGACTCTTCCGCAAACAAGGTAGAATTTGCGCGCTAATTGATAAAAAAAAAAGAAAGTTTCTGCTTCATGAAATCGTATGGTACATACCTTGTTATCATGCGGGCATAAATCGTGGAACAAAACCTCCAGGGCGCTTGAAACCTTAACGCAGCCGAACACACTCTTCCGCCAAGGTCTCGCTGGGCTACTTAGGAGGGAGGCTGGGGAGACAAAAAAAAGAAAGCCCGCGGGGTATGATGGGAAGGAGAACTATAGCCTTTTAAACCGATGTCTGTTTAATAATTTCAAGGGCGGTCGCTTTTTCTTTTCTTTGTCTTTTTAATATAATGTCCATGGATTTCATATTAGTGTAGCGGCGTTAAGAAAGGCCAAACTTATCACCACTTAAAATTGGGACTTGGCTAGTCTAGTATATTCGGGAGCTTAAGCAACGAGAACGGCGACGGCAACGAGAACGGTAAAATAGCAATAGGTTTAGATTGGCAAAACAAAAATTTTGCACGTGCAGTTTGCACATTTCCTTGCCGTCACGGCACGACCACGACGTGAAATTTCCTAGTTTCACGTTTTTTAAAGGACGTGGACACAAGACGACTCTCTTTTCCTTTTCTTGAACTTCGATGCAGTCCTTTGTAATTAAAAGCCAGAAAAATCTGCCAACATTTGACGAATTGAACGAGATGAAAAAAGCGCGATTAAGTTTGAAGCAGCACGAATTCACTTTTCAAACGACATTTTCGTAGACTTCGCCGTCGTCGTTGCTTAAGCTGCCTAATATTAGAGAGCAAGCAACGACGACGGCATAAAAAACGAGAAAGTCAAAGATTCAGAAGGTTTTCTTAAAATAAGCAATAACTCTGCATGTGTATTTCTTTGCTGTCACTGCACGGATAGGAAGTGAAATTCCCTTATGTGACGTGTTACGGAGAAACCCACGACGAAGACTTTTTTCTTTCTCCTCCTAAAATTGAGCGTGTTTCCCAAGAATTCAACTCCGGAAAAATGCCTTACAACTGCAAAAGATCCTTTTTCTTTTTCAAAAAATTCATTTTAATAATGACAAAACAGGCAAACACTTGATTTAGCTTTTAATATTAGTAATTATTCGATTGACCGTGTTAAGGAAGCTACTTTTCTTGGTGTAATTTTGGATGAACATTTAACATGGAAATCACATATACATAATGTTGCTAGGAAAGTGTCTAAAGCCATAGGTATAATTTATAAATCAAGTTTTTGCCTTAATAATTCCTCCTTACGAATGCTTTATTTTAGCCTTATCTACCCATACTTATTCTACTGTGTGAGCGTCTGGGCATCGACCTACCCATCAAACCTCAGAAGATTAATCACACTTCAAAAACGGGTCGTAAGAATAATGTCGAGGAGTGCTTTCGATGCTCACACTGACCCCTTATTTAAAAATTTAAAAATTCTGAATCTTGAGAGTATCTACAAACTTCAAATAGGAAAATTTATGTATCAATACAGATCTGGCTTACTTCCTTATAGCTTCAATAACATGTTTCTGGTGACACGCCAGGTGCATTCTTATGGCACTAGAAGTTCGGAGCATTTTTATTTACCGCAATGCAGGACTAATATAAGAAAGTTCTCCATCAGTTTCCAAGGTCCTAAATTTTTTAACTCTCTTAGTTTTGAAATTCGAAATGCAACAAGTACCGCTTCCTTTTGCTGTAAACTGAAAGCATTCCTCTTATCATAAATAGTAATTTATATATATATATATATGTATTTTTTTTTCTTCCTTTGCTCTTTTATTTTCATTTGTTTTGTTTTGTTTTTTCTTTTTGTCATTTCGCTTTTTTTAGCCTAGAACTATGATTAGTACGACTATCTAATATACTTATTTTAAGATTTACTGTAGCTCTGCCATTGATTTTCCCATGTGTAATTATGATAATATTTTGTTCTATTTATCTAACTGAGGGAGCCCATTCCTTATAAGCCCGGTGGCTTCTCTTGGGCTTCCTCGCCATGAGAGTTTAAGTAATTAGATTTCATTTGATTTGTATAATTTTTTGGCAAACAAAACAATAAACAATAAACAAGACGTTTTTGCAGATATGGCCGTCGTTAATTATGCTAAAACTCCCTACTATCGTCTGTCTGGTCTGGGCGGATGCTACAAGGGAAGAGGCAAAAGGACAAAAGAAAGATAAAGAAAAAAACAGAGACACTGGATGATAGAGTATCGTAAGACTACAAAGATCTGGCCAGGGTCAAACGCCTTTGATCAAACGTCGAACTTCACATAAGATTAGCCTAATGCTAATGAGTGAACCAACAGGGTCCCGAGGAGTTCAGTTTGTCGTGGGAACATCCAAAACTCTTAAAAACCACCTCTCTTGTAAAAAAAACCCCTCCACAATGGCTATTCCGATCACGCTGTAATTTCGTTACATTTATTTCGCAGACGTAAAGGAGTTCATATCTTCGATTCTATAGTGAACAAAGGCGAATCACAATATCTATATCAACTGCACGATTTTAAAATTGCAATCAAGGTCACAAACAATGCCCCCAGCCCTGTGGCCAGACCAAAAGTTCGACGTTTAACTCGGACCAAGGTTCATCATCTGCACTATGGTAAAACAGAAAAAAAAGAAATGAAAAGAAAGAAAAAAAATGTCCGTGAGTTTTACAACAGTTTATTCGCGATCAACGTATTTGTATAAAATAGGCTGTATAAAACCATCATGATAAATTTACAAATTAAACTATTTACTATGGTGCTAAAATAATTACCAAAGCCTCGTAAAAATTTATATTTTTCATTAGTTTTGACTTTGTAATTCGACGACAAAGCTAAAAAGGTAGACGTGGGGTCGTCAAGCAAACATTTTACATCAAGAGATGAAATACTTATGGTTAATGGTAGTATTCAAGATTGAAGGGTGGTACTCGGCTGCTAGGATGCTGTTTACCATGCTGTACAATATGGTTTTTACTCAAATCTGTAAATAACATTTTAAAAGCAACTAGTTTTCCGTTATTCTTCTTTGCCTGTCGCAACTTTGCATCGTATGACTATAAAAATGGAAGCTAGTGAGTAGTACTTTCTTGTGGTACTGTTTATTATGCTGTACAAGGTGGTTCTAACTTTTGAGTCTGCGAACGAATCCTATGGTGTGACTATTCAAATGAAAGCTACTGAGCAGTACTTTCCTGTGACATTCTTTATCATGTACAATACGGTTGTGGTATTTTGTCTGTGGACAACTGAAATCCTATGGGATAACCATTCACATTAAAGCTACTGAGCAGTACTTTCCTTTGTTGCAGTTTACGATGGTCCTGCCGGTTTGCTTCCTTGAATGAAATCCAAGAGGGTGACTATTCAAAGAAACGTTATTGAGGAGTAACTTTCTTGTGAGCGCAGATTCGTGGAGTGGTTTTGCAACCTTTTTCGCGGTCTATTTTGATCGCAGTCAAATAAGAAACAATTAACCTTATTGCTTCGACTCAATGTTCGCAAAAATTGCATGCATTAAAAGTTTCTTTCATTCACGGAACGTTTATAAATATGAAATGATATCAAATATTAAAAAAAATTGGTGTGAAAGCCTACAATTTTAACACTCTCTCTTTTATAACCTAATTTTTCATTGAGACTGAGCCAGAACTGACGGCTTTTATAATTGGTGAGATGTGAACCTCAAAACGTTCATTATAAGAGATGTTTTTCAAACAGAAGATTTGATTCTCTTAGACGCGTTATGGCGAAAACTGCATTACTCTTGGAATGAAATTGCTCATATGTTATTATCAATTATTGACTGCAATTAGAAGACTATTGGATTCGATTGAGCTTCATAGCAGTTGCATACCAAATGTATACTATCATCCAAACGCTTACTGCACATGCATTCCTTATGGCAGTATCTTTACGTTGCTCCTTTTGAACTGAGCTGGTGGTATACAATAGACCACTTCCGTGATGCTCCAAGCCTCTGTTTCAAAGCGAGGCTAGGTGCGAAGCTATTGATGAAAATGATCTATTATATATATTCTCATGCAAATAAAACTCCTCTTCACAAGAATGGTTTTGCACTTACCCTCGTTTTGAGAGTGAGAATTTTTGGAACTCGGAAATGGCCTATTTTCTTGACTGTACTTCAGCCTGAACTATATTTTGGGTTTTTCCTCTGGCTCATCCTTAACGATGAATTCTACTCAAAAAGAACGTACTTAGTGTATATTATCTCAGTGTATATTGCAAACATGGTGGTCTATGGTATACTTTTTTTATATCAAGTGTTACTTAAAAAGCAGTATAAAATATTTACTACAGTGGTAATTTAAATTGTGGCGTGCCCAGGTGTATTTATATGTATTAACAATAATTACAGTTTGTAAAACTATTCTGATAAGTTAAGATGGCTGTTGCCTGTCCATCTGCTAAGATATTGAGCGAAAACTCTGGAAAATAAATGAAAGGCAGCGAATTAGTGAGCTGCCTCATTGGTTATGAAAACATAAAAACAATTAAAAACTGGTTATGTGTAACAAAATATTATTATTTTAAAAATATCTTAATAAATCGGAGGAATAACCAAGCATTCCATGAAAATTTATACTCTATATGCTGTGTAATAAAGTCATCAGAAGAACGTGTCGTTGTTGAATGCCATGTACATGACGATACGCGATTTGAAGATAAAGTGAGAGAGCTTTCATCATTTATACTACTACATGACATTTTTCTGCAATTTGATGCAATCTGAAATATAGAGCAGTGGTATTTCAGCTTAATTTGAAATACCTACATGTGAAAATTACAAACCTCTTGCGGGTAGTAGTACATGTATAAACAAATAATAGCATGATTTGTACGTGATATTTGGCATAAATACCACTCGTGATATTTCAAAATTGTGTCAAATTTCACTCGCCTAACGGCTCGTGAAATTACGTATAACAATTTTGAAATATCACTCGTGGTATTTATGCCAAATATCACTACAAATGATGCTATTACCTATACAACATTTAAAATGGCAGATATTCATAAGACTAGGAACGGGGAAGGGGTAACGACCACAGGGAACCGAAAAAAGGAAAAATGGGAATAAAATGGAGCATGGGTGGTAAAGTTACTGATGGCGCCAGGGTTTAAATTAGGATTGCTTCCCTTTTTTGATTTTTCCGTTTCGCGATCTCGTTCAAAGCTTTAGTAACATCCTGAAAACAGCCGAGTTTCTTATCGTCAATTCCTTTTCGTTCCTCTTAGTTGTAATAATAATAATAAAACAATGACAGAAATAAGAATTATTGTAGTTTAAAATATCTTCCTTCCCTTCATTTTTTTTTCTTTTTTTCAACTGGGCCGCCTAAATTAGCAATTGCTACTTTGCGGGCCATGCAGTCGATTGTGAAACCGTTTTTACTAAATAAAGTTGAAGTTGAAGTTTCTTACAAGTTGACGTCAGTATGTTTTAATAGCATCACAAGGAATTATCTTTAACACCAACAACAACAGAAAACTACAAAAACAACAAAAACAAAGGCATAGAAACAGAGAAACGTCGACCACAACAAACAACCGCACGCGTAATATTACCTTCTTTCCATTTGTTGAAGCCTTTTAAAGCGTTCTTTATCTTCATCGGTTCGATTTTTACTTGGAGGACTTTCATCTGCAAACCGTACTCGAAGTTCCGCGCTCGAGGAAGTTCTCTACAAGAGATAACATTGTGTTTAAAGGTTCGCGCATATTGACTAAGTTCCAATAACATAAATACAGCTTTAGAAAATAGGAGACGTAGTGTCACATTAGGATAGTTTTACCATTGTGTTATTACCAATGTAGCCTACGTGTAGCCGCACCCTTCTCCCGACAAAAGAAAAACGGAGAGGGTGTGGCAACACGTAGGCTACTATTAATGATGATAGTTCACTATTCACGTCTTTTCATCTACATGGACGTGAACAAATTCTCACGGATAGGTTACCCGAAATGTTTGTTGTGAATATGAAACCGCGTCTTAGCAGACAAGTTACCATGTAAAATACCGGCGCTGATTTCATCTTTTGACCAACAGAAATCTATTTCCAAGTAGTTTTGTTATTTAAGGTCTCGTAGCAGTGAAAATCATGGAATTGGCCCTTCCCCACCACCCGTAACCCCTCTCCTGGATGGAGAGTGGGGCATCGCCGGCCACAATTAAACTGAGCCCTAGTTTAATGTTGATCCGAGATCTAGTTTTGATCTACAGACTTGAGGACACATTTTTCGCTCCTAAAATATCACAATTTTATTGCTCTAAGGTTTTTTATAGTTAAAAAGAGAACATTCTCTTACCGATTGTCTTATCCTTTTTCGAGACGGTTCACGTTCAATTGAATTCCTCATTTTGGTTGGCTTTAGTTGGGCCTGTTTGGAAAAGAGTTTACTTTAAACGTAAGAGTCACCTATAAAACATTCTTGTTGTCGATGATGAATTATTCGTTTTTTATTACAGTCATACAAACACAACAACTTGCCTTTAAATAAAACACGACTCATCACTTTAAATTTATAAACTCCATAAACATAATGTTAATGTTACCTTTTGTTGCTCAACTACTGTATCGGTTTCTTTCTGATTTGGACTATGTTCCTCCATTTCTGTCTTTTCTTCAAGCTATTTACGAAATACAGAACAGCGCAATATTTCTAAATACAGTGTTTAGATCAAAACTCACCATGTGTAATGTCAGTAGGTATAATCACACATACGATAGCAAAAAACAGGATAACCAGTCGGTTGGGACGTAATCGAAAAAACAAAAACAAAAACTACAACAACAACAACAACAACAGTACACATGCACGCAGTAGGGTAGAAGGAGACACTGTGAAGCGCAATCAGTCGTTCAACCAACCAACCAACCAACCAATCAATCAATCAATCAATCGATTCTTTGTTTTTCAAGGGTATCTGTTGATAGTCTCCGCGGACTATCAATAATGCATGTGACCCTCGGATGTATCTTATGAGAATTTATCTCCTATAATTAACATTTCAAAGATTAGACACTCAAGTTTTCCTCGATATTTCTTGAGGATTTCACTTAATTATTTATAGTGGTCCTTTATATCAGAACTTTTACAAGGCTGATTTGGAAACAGCACAGGAATCGCGTTTACCTTGGAATTTAAAATCCTCTTTTTCGTCTCGAATTTGCCGGCATCGCAGAACTCATTAATCAGCTGATTCTGCAACAACTGAAGCTTCGGTAGAAGCATTTGTTTGAATCTCTGGTCACCAGACTCAACATCAAAATCAAATTCGTCCTGCCATTCAAGGTCACCGGTCGGTGAATACCCAGGAGACAGCGCGCGATACAAGTCACGTGTTGGAGATGCTGGAAATTCCTCACGAACTTGGCTGGTTACAACTCTTTGTCCGAGCAAACCAGTTTTTTCATTTACTACAATAAAATAATAGAATAACGTAAAATAAATAAAATTTATCATGAGCCAGAGTTAACTAGTGAGTGAATATTGGTGCACCAAAACAATGAAACGGCGGCCATATTGGTACACCTCACGAATGAAACGGCGGCCATATTGGTGCACCTAAACAATGAAATGGCAGCCATATTGGTGCACCTAAACAACGAAATGGCGCCCATATTGGTGCACCTAAACAATGAAACGGCGCCCATATTGGTGCAGCTAAGCAATGAAACGGCGCCCATATTGGTGCACCTAAACAATTAAACGGCGCCCATATTGGTGCAGCTAAGCAATGAAACGGCGGACATATTGGTGCACCTAAACAATGAAACGGCGGCCAAATCGGTGCTACAAAAAAGATCCTGTGGGGATTGAACTATTTTGCGAGTAAAAACTTCCTTTTGTTCCAAGAAATTTACATGGCTGGTATCCTCGTGAGTGATACGATCTATTGGACTTGACTTGCCCGAAGCTACTTGAAATACCCAATTGAAAAAAAGGATTTATTTATAGATTTGGTGAACGGTGAATAACGTGGCATAGTTTCATAGTTACAGCTTCTCTTTGAATGGCTATCTAATTTATGAAGGCGTGTACAATCCTTTGGCGGTGCAAAGAAAATCCAAGTCCAAATTCTAGTTCGCTACTATTATCTTTTGAATTGCTAAAAAAAGACATCAAAGTTCAGAATTAATTGCACAGCCAACTAACCGACAACTTTTATTACGGTTAATTGAGGTTTATATTACATGTGTAGTTTGAAACTACACAATCTAAATGGCCAAACAATATACTTACACGAAGTAGAAGGCCTTGTTACAGTGCTGGGTATTCCAGATTTTCTATTCCTAGTAATTCAAAAAAATATATTTAGAAAGGGTTGACATCTAGCTATGTTAAATAAGAAACGGTGTTTTAAGCGTCTTATTTGTCCTCTACATTACGGAATCTTACCAACTAAAGGACATGTACAATCCTCCAATGACTCCGACGATCAGCACGGGGATACCAATCCACATGAGAGCCATGGTCCGTTCTCTCTTTTGTTCCTTTTGCAAACTCTATGTAAAAAGAAGTGATTGTATTAAATTTACGGTAAAGTATTCATTCCGTTGAAAACCTCTAAGTAGTGCTGCTGTTAATTTGAACTTATAGCACCTATTTCTACCCAAAAGCGAGATGGACAAATTCAAGCGCCTGCTGCCGTATTTTCTGCATTACTATAACACCGTAATTTTATGATGTATTACAACTATCCGTAGACTATATTTTAACAACAACAACAACAATCTTTATTATGCTCTTGATACAAAAAGTGTAAAGACATTAAAAGGAAATAATTGTGAAAAAAAGAGAGCACCGCCACTCAGAAATAGCAAAAGCTAATCGCACTGAGTGGCTGGGTCATGCGGAAAAGTAACTAGATATCAAAGTTGTTATAAATAAACAAATGCACACAAAGAAGAAATATATAAGCTGTAATAAATAAACAAATACACCAACGAATGAACAAAGAAGCCAGACAAAACGACGGCTGTGAACACAATTAGCTGCATATTAAGTACACCAATCAATATTTGGAGATGACAGATTCTTTTAGGGCCTGTTTACATGGAGGTGGGAGACCCCAGGTAGGTGAGGTAACCCACTTAGGTGAGATAACCCGCCTGTCCATATAATCTCTTATTTTAATCTGATTATGTTTACATGATAGGTGGGGTGACCCGCCAAATTTTACCTCACCTATCTGGGGTCCCCCACCTTCATGTAAACAGGCCCTTAAAAGCTTTCTAAAGCGAAAACGACTCCCTGATTTTAGATCTTCTTTAATAGCATTCCTCTTGGCCATTAAATTTCAGCGAGGTTTCGATTGGTTCAATTTTAAGTCAATAATAAATCGATATTGCAAAAAAAAAAAAAGAAATGCAATGGCTAAGGAGGTATTAGAACGCAAGACTTTTGATCCTAGTGAGTTGCATCACAACCACAAGGACCAAACGTCTCATCTTACCCGTGGACGGTAGGTCCTAGTATGTAATTTCATGCTTATGTTACACATGTTAACACTTGTTTTCATATAAAACTGTAAGTAAGACTTTATGCACTTTTAATTTTCCTTCCTCCTTTATAAGTTACTTGTAATATTTATGTAAATGTCTATGCCAGTTAGTCAGTGACAGTGACCGACTCGAAAGCCTGAGTTCCTTTGGTCACTGCGCGCATCACACCTTTGATGTTTTATGTAATTTGTTGTTTATATTTTCCAACTTTTGTAATGTATTGTAATTTTTGTAGTAAAAAATAAACAATCTGAATGTGAATCCTACTTTTAACGTTTTGAGCAGTCAGTTTGGAGTTGGAATTTAACGTTAGCAAAGAAATTACTTGCAAATGACAAGCTCACTTCTTCATGTTAAACACTTTATAGTGTCTCCCAAGCATTTTATTAAACGTTGAAGACAAAAAGAATGAACTTTGCCGGAAAAACTGTGAAGCTAACAAGTTTTCTTCACGTTTGACCACCTGTGCCTCCTTTTGTATTTGCTGTGCTATTTATACCTTTTAAACATGTTTTGAGCCATTATTAGGCAGCTTTTAGGGAGCTTAAGCAACAGCGTTTTTGAGCGACGGACGTCAACCGGAGGTGGACTTTTTGCATCATTGGGAAGTGGTTTGGTTTAAACTCTCTGGTAAATCGTCTTAAAAATGGAAAAGAAACTTAGCAATACAAATTTGTTAGCGTCAAGGCATATAAAAAGGGAGAAAGCTTAACTTCCGGTTGACGTGCGTCGCTACACAGCTCCTTAAATTTTCTCAGTGAGGAGGATTTTTATCATCAGTTTGATTATTTGATTGGACTAGCCAGTGACAAGTCTTACCTCGTCCGATGAGAGATCCATAAGAACTGCAAAGTTTGAAAGATGGCTGCACTGACAGATCGAGTGAGAATGATTATTGAACGCCAACCAACAACCACGTGACGACCACGCCCCGCCTCTATGGGGACTGGTGATGAAATAAACATTGTCAGGGTCATTCTGCAGGTACCGTCTCGGTACTTACAGAAGAAACCCACTGTTATTTTTCGCAAAGTTAACTTTGCCTCTGCATCTACTTATTCAAGTTCTTGAATTTCTCTGGTTTTCTGATGAGATCTAGCGAAGAGTTGAAGATTACTATCCACATATCCTTCTTTATTGTTTTTAGATGAAAATAATAAAACGTCTGTAATTAATCGAATTTGCCCTACCACCAAAAAAAAAAATTACAGCATATATAATATTTCTTACCTCAATGTGTAATCCCAAAAAACGCATTTAGGATTTCCTCTTCTCCTCTGTAAAAAAAAATTATGCCGATGTTGATGATAATTTTTTATGATAATGATTGTGCAAATGCAAATGCGATGAGATGAAGATGAAGAAAGTAAGAATGATAATGATAAAACACCTGAGGTCAAAAGATTTCTCGAACAAGATAATCGCATCCAGTAGTAAAAACAAACAATTGAATAAAGAAAAGCAAAAAGTGTACGAGAAAAATAGCCTCAGGCATTCCATTACTTTTGGAAAAGTATAATTGGCCAAGAAGAAAAATAGGTTTTCTCGAGTTCCTTTTAACAATAACTGGGTATTGTTTGAAACCATAATTGAAGAATTAACGGATTAACAATTGAAGAATATCATAGAAAAAAATGTACCGAAAGAGTGGTTGAAAGTGTCCATTACCTTTTTGCTTAAAACAATGTGAGGAGTACTTATTTATAATTTACCGCATTTTGAGACATGCAGTACCGAGGCCAAGTTTTATGGCGTACAATACCTTGATATGGGTAAGAACTACTGTCACGGGAGGGGTGATCTTCCCCTGCGGGTGGGGGTGCATCACTATGGATATCACTTTGGAATTAGGACCAAGACCGGAACTGTGAAAAAAGGATACTTTTTAGGGCTTGTTTACATGGAGGTGGGGGATCCCAGGTAGGTGAGGTAACCCGCTTAGGTGGGGTAACCCGTCTGTCCATATAATCTCTCATTTTAATTTGATCACGTTTACATGATAGGTGGGGTGACCCGCCACATTTTACCTCACCGATCTGGGGTCACATACCTCCACGCAAACAGGCCCTTAGAGAGTAAGTTCCTGAAATGTGATTTATCCCTTTGAGGGGTGGTGTGGTCTACGTATTTATCGTTGGACTTCATAGGTGAAGGTTGGTACAATAATATTCCCAAAGCTATGGCTGCTCCACGCCGGCCTCATAAATTTGTAGTGCACTTTCTATTTCCCCTCCAGAATCAGTGTTTACTCAATCCGGGAAGTTATAAGAGTAGATAGTTAGAGAGATTTAGAACTATGTTTACAACAAAAAGCCGAAACGCTCATTTGTACCACATCGCAAGTTTTCCTTTTACTTGTAGATTACTACTCATTACTAATGGTACTCAAATATTAATAGTCTCATCCGAGATTTATCAATAAGAATTAGTTTTGATAGTTTTTATCCACTGATTTTCTAATATTAAATTGTCTAATTGAATCTGAAGTTTATGGTTGGCAGTTGACGTGATTCTGAAAAAATGTATCCATTAGCAACAGCAATGATTCTTGACTATTTATACGAGATAACTCACGACGTTTCTAGTAAACATGTGAAACAAGAAGAAGGCGTGTTAACGTACCTAACATTCGTGTCGGGAAGTAAATAAGGTAAACTTTTGAAGTTGATGCTGGCTGTACTTACTTCGCCTAAGGAAAAAAAAAGCAGTAAGAAATAAAAGATTTTTCAACACGTCCTGCAGTGAAGGGATTCTTATAATAACGGACGTGTCTTATTAAAACTCGCGGCACACAATAGCTCGAGAGGCCATATCAAACACTCAAGGGAGTGTTTCACTTAAAAGTCCAAGGGTCAGTTATTTAAACGAAGAATAACTTAAGCCGCGGTTTAACGAATCTTTGGACCTCCAGATCTCTTCCACGGTGGGTCTTCACTTTGCCTCTGAAGATGACTACCGCACAGGTTGTCGAAACGTCAGTCACTGTCAACAACAACAGTCCTATTCAGGACTACGTTCACGCGGACGATCAAACTCAACCTACTTTTGCAATGACTCCTGGGTTCAAACCTTTCACATAATGAATTTTGTTACATACAGCTACATACCCTGATCAAACACAGACGAAGGTAGGGCGATGACGTCATGCCTTGCATCCCAGCGGTCAATTCTTGGATTGGAGAAGTCTGGGAAGGTCAGACCGCCTTCACCAGGCGACTTCCGGTCCAACTTGATGACTACGGCAAAAAATACACGTCACGAAACGATAGGCTGAGTTGAAAAATAAATTAGCAACCTCGTACAAGCAAACTTTGACGATAGCTTAGGCAGGCATATAAAAAAACCAAAATGAAAAAGATCTGTATTTGTCAAATCCGGTAGCAAAGTTTTTCTTGTGAAGGATGCTTCACTGAAGCTACACAGTGTGTGCTACACAAGCTCATGGGATAAGCCTTGCTTCAGTCGGTAATGCTGCAAAGTTTTACACTATCAGTTTAGGATATCATGCATGTGTGCCAGTCTACGGTAAGTCATCTGTTTGCCTACGCTGCGCGTCGGACTTATTCAGGCAAAATATCAATCGCTATTGCTGACATTTGACACAAGAACACTTCAATAGAAAACCTTAGGAGTATCATTAACTGTAACTCACTGATGTTATTGGTGATGGCTGGATCTGCCATATCTTCCCGAGGAAGTCTTCTCGCAGCCTGAAGTGCGAACATTTCCATTAATCGAAGCACACCTGCACTTCCTGGTTTATTCTGAGAATTAAACGCGATATAACTTCTAAGTTGACTCGAATACAAAAAGTCGTAAATAATTCATGAGAGAAAAACGGGGAAAATCACTTTCGTAACCATAAAATTTCGCTTTGCGTAAAGAATAATTGATTATTTTAATATAAAACTCAATTTTTAACCGATTGAAAAACTAATAGGTGCCTCGCTTTTGCTAGCCTTTTTTCCGGGGTTTATGTTTCTAATGAAACACTGCCGCTCGTTTTTAATAATATCTGGCATCAATTAGAATTTAAATATACAGGAATATGAAGCAAAAAAAATATAAATAACTAAGTAAATCAATAAAAAAACGAATGGGAGTAACTAATAAGCAGTTGTAATAAAACAAGGCATTTCGGATCACAAGAAACAATTTCCAGCATTTATAATGTGGAAATTATAACTTATTGCCATATATTACAGAGCTTTTTACGCACTATAAATCTCCTATTTTTCAGACAAAACTTGGAGGCATGGTTCTTAAGAGTTTTTAGAACTTTGGCTTTAGATGCTCCTTTATAGCGAAATAGACCTTTTTCTTTAGATTCTTTGCGTATTTGTCATACCTTCTGGATGTTGAACCATTCTTGTTGATTAGTCATATCCAGGAGATTGCTGCTTGCCCGGACAAAATTCTGTTCAAATATACAAAAAAACTAATGGATTTCTTCATTTCCAGACTAAAGTTTTGGTGCATGTACCATAGCCTTCCTTCGGTGTAAGTCTTCCTTCCGCGTGGCAAGTTTTGGCACACGTATCTTAAGCTATGGTAAAACGGACAAAAAAGTGTGACTTATTTTGCAACATTGTCCCAAAACGAGTTAAAAAACGATGTTACGCGTTTGCTGCAAGTAGTGTGAATACTGACTTCTGATTGGATAAAACTACGAGGGAGTAACGTCATACACGAAAGTTACGTCACTTGCTGCAAAACAAGTTTGCCTTGGGCCGGTAAAAACGCGCAATATACACAGATTTTATTGTAAAAAGTAGAAGTACTCTTTATTTTCTGCAACAACCTGATTTGATGCAAGACAAGTTTGAACGTGGGCGTAAAACGTGTATTATCGTTATTCAACTCGTTTTGCAGCAATGTTGCCCAACAAGTTGCAAGTTTTTTTTGCCCGTTTTATCCTGCCTTTAGTCTCCCTGCGGTGAGAAAAATTCCTTACGCACTATTGTGGATATGCATGAACAACTACATAACTGCCTCTTTAGACCCTCCAGCCCCACCCCTGTTTCATGGGCTCGTACTTTTCGCGTTTGGGCTATAAATCCACCCAGTCCGTGACTAACAGTTCTGATTTAAAGAGGTACGTCAGAAACCTAATTCAGGGTCATTTTTGTGTTGTTATCTTTAAACTTCTTTGAACTTGACATTGAACAGGCTAATCAAGCAAGTAACTGAATAAATTGAAGATACTTTTTCTCATTTGTCTCCTTTTTTATATTGTGGTGTAATTGTCACGGGAGGTCGTCTATTGGACAGGGGGTTCCTGTACAAATTTAACACTAGAGGTAGGGGTGCGGCCGTTATACAAGAGACGTTTATCTAAGAGTGGGCGTCAATTAGATCATTTATGGTATGAACGTCTTTCCACCACAATAATTGTTACCTCTACGTCCTCTCGTGTCATGTCCAGAGAATCAGTTTGACCATTGTGTTGAACAATGGCTGCCATGATATCTGAAGCTCGGTCCAGGTCTCCCCCAAAGATCAATGAGTTATCGATGTTTTGAGTGGTCAGCAGCGAGAGCTCCCGGATGAGGGGACTGGGGTCGGCACCACCGGCAAGCTTTCTAGACTGATGAGAGTATACATACCCGAAGTGAACAATAAACCAATAAACCCAATTTAAAAATGGCAAGAGCAGTTCATGTTCTTTTGTACTATATTCAAGTCAGCCTTACCGGCCTCATTCTTAAGTAAAAAATTCAAAAGAATAGCTTATCTCAAGCGATGCTAGTCAGGCTAATTTTAATCAAAACAAAATAATCCAACAGCCATTGTTGCATTGGGTGTATGTTATGTTATTATTAAATTTTGTACGTTCGAAAAAATACAAGATTCGTTTTGTTGCTAAGACAGAGTTGTATTTTTAATTAAGGGTGAACCTGTGATGAAAATTCTTAAAACATTGTAACTGGCAGTCCCCTCTTGGGAACTGTTAATCCAATTGCTTTAAGCTATTGTATTGTTCTAAGTGAAATTTAAACCAGGAGTAAATTTAATAAAACTTTTACAAGTGTAATTTACAAATGTAGCTATTGTTTTCAGACCTTAAAATAATAGCTACACTTGTAAATTATAATTGTAAAAGTTTCACCAAATTAACCCCTGATGGAGTTTATAGAACGTTTACACTCACGTGACCAGCATCTATGTGACAAAAGAAAGTATTTACAAGAAAAGGGTTCAACTCCCACAGCACTAGTTTGGGACAGCGACATGGCCGCCGTTATATTGTTTTGGGACACCAATATGGGCGCCGTTAAATTGTTTTGGGACACCAATATGTCGGTGACGTCATGTGAAAACGCTCCATTGACTTTGTACTTCAATGTAATGCTTTTAATCTAAAAATACTTTTCTCCTTTACCCGTTTGCTTTATGTTCAGTCCGCTGAAAATTTGAAAGGTTATTTTGTTTTACCTTTTCAAATAGCGCTTGATAATCATTAGAAACACAATCACTAAAATTTGGCGGCAGCCATCTTGAATCAGCCTCACAACGTCGCTTAACGAAACCTAGTTAAAAGAAAAAAAGAGGAATTTGAGTTGGCAAAAAAAAAAAAGAAAAGAAAAAGGAAAATCAGTGGTCCCAAAAGGTTTTCCACAATAGTAGCGTATTTGTAAGTGGATAAAAAAAATTCCTATCAAGGTTGTAAGCTTTCAATATACTGTTAACAACAAAAAATGTTTAGAAGGCACGGTTGGCAAGACTGAAAACTGCTTACAATGTCATTTGGTTAAATACCGTTCAAACTCAGTTTTAATATCTGGGTAAAGACGTAATTTTCTTATGCCCGTTAGTTATTTTATGAATTTCAGCTTATCCAAATCAGGTTACTTTGAATACGCGAAAGTACAAACGATGTTGAAGTAATTCTTTTCTCCATGGGTTTGAGATGGAGCCTGTTACAATTCAAACTCTTAATTTCTAGCATATTTAATAAACTGCAGTTATAATGAAGCCCAATACACGATGTTATTATATCTACTTGTTTTTTGAGGAAGTTAACCATGCACGTAATTCTTATCATTTTGATCTAACTCAGTGACCGATAGAAATGTCGAATTAATTTATTAAGTCAAAGTTTGTCAGGAATGAAACAACGATTGTGCAGCCAGGTAGCGCTCAATATAAACTGCAGCTCCGTTGTATTCATCTTTGACGTTTTCACCCTCCAAGACCAGTCTCCTCTACTAACTATGGTCTGAGATATGGTATCAAATTAATTTTGAGCTTTGATTAGTCTAAGGCGGGGTAGGGGTTCCAAGGCCCTGAGAAAAGCCTCACCTAAATATTTTAAAGTACTCCCCAGGTGTTTGGTTTCCTCCTTGTGACCCTGACCCCGAGCCCTACCTAGCGGTCTCCCCCAGGGGTCTCCCCTACCTTTAGCTTCACGTGGACACGGGTGTCTTGAATAATGCCCGGCTCCTGTTTTCGTCCACATTATCCCTAAAGCTCTTTCGGCCTCACACTCCTCCTGAATTCCTAAAAAAATCAAAGTAATATAATACAAGTTGCAAACCCTAATTCCCAGTTGTATGGCCAGTAACCAAGCCTTATTTGAGTGAAAACGAGGCTGGGAGTAATCACGTTTTGATAGAAGCCTTAGGAACGTGATTTACAATTAAAAAGCACTGAGGGCTTATCATAACAAGGTCACCATCAGCCTCGCTTCCATTCAAGGCCAGGATACTCAGTACACAAGTGTAAAATTGTTCCGTTAGCTTCAGTCTCGTGCAGAGAAGGCAACAGTCCTCAGATGACTAAAGCTTTCCTCTAGCTACCGTAGTAATAGAATGATGTGATCATGAGCGATCAATCGTTCCTTTTCTATCTCATGCCCAATGTCCACCAGGATTGGCTCAGAGTGTGCGAAGCGCTTTTTAATGATGACTTGTAAAAGCTTTCTTTCTTCGCATAGTTGAGTAGCAAGTTTTTGGGCCTTTTCTTTTTAGACGGAATCGACAGCTCCCTTGAACTTAACCTTCTCTAATATCCCGTATTTCTTATACTCAAAGTACTATATATAATTACATACCCGATGGAGAAACTTTATCGTTCCATTCATCATCATCGTCATCGTCATGACCTCTCCCTGAAAAATAATAAATTTGATTTCTATCACTGAGTTAACAATGGGCCTTTTTAAAGGCAATGACAGCGAATGGCGCGATAAATACTTTGAAAGGGCAATAAATACTTCCAACTGGCAATAAATGCTATCAAAAGGCAACGAATGCTGTCAGATGGCAATGGATAGGGTCAAAACGTCAATAAATGCTGTAACCATACACCGAATGCGTTTGTTCACCTTCTAAAGAAAATGTTTTGCACTTTTAAACTTTGTGCATGGGTATTGTTTTCAACTCTACTGCCTTGGGAGCTCGTTTATGTAAAACTTTGCAAATTTGCAGGTTCGAAACAAGGCCGGGGACCCGTTTCTCCAAGGTCCTGGTAACTTTTTGGGCCCGGAAAGCTGTTTTTGTTTGCCGTGTTTACATTCAAGATCAATGTATCAATGGGTTTAAAAAAGATCAAATGAAACTATCCAATAACGAAACAAAATAGACTGGTTTGTGAGTTAGGAACTGTGCGACTATTCAACACATTTTGATTTTAAAATTTTTAAATTTTCGGGCCCGCAAAGTTATCGGGCCTTTCGAGAAACGCGCCCCAGGCCCCAGTTGTTCGAAAGGTGGATAGCGCTGTCCACTGGATAAATTACTATCCAAAGGATCGATAGCACAATTGTTTTTCGTGATACGTATCCTCTGGATAGCGCTATCCAACTTTTGAACAACCTGGGCCTGGTAGTCAAATGCATGTACTCGAGACTGACGTAAACATAGATAAGGGCAATTGAAGAATACTCAAAGAGGATGTCGGGGCATAATTTTTGCAGGAAAAGTGATTGGCACTTTCAGGAAAAGGAGAACTTTGCGCCATAGAGAGGTGTTCGTAGGCGTTCGAAAATAGAGCTTGTGTATTGTGTTTAGTTTTCACAGTCTGGGGATTCATACATTCTCGAAACTACAAACAATCATTCCGACGTTAAGTCGTGTGTTGATGTATACTGTATGAGGATCTGGGTGAAAGACATTCATTCCAGTTATATTGTGTTTTTTTGTTTCCTTTCTTCTTTTTCAGCTATGGAAGTCGGGCTTTGCAACTTACACAGCGCTTAATGTTATTCATTACCTCTCTCACTCTGCAGCAAATGCCTCCTGACGAAACACATCCGGGGACTAAATATATCATCCAGGGAAGGCGAGGTCTTGCACGACTCCTTACTAAAACAACTGACCAGGAAGCAGGTCTCTGACGATTTGAATGCCAGGTCACAATTTTTTTGCTGACAGCAACGCTTAATGCACATACCGAAATCGCCCACGTCACCAATGTTCGTAAAATTTCCCGCCTTTTTTCCTCGTAGCAGAGTAACGTCATCTGTGGTTTTTCCCGCAATGCATACGGGAGCTCGATGTTTGCGATGCTTCTTTCCTGTTTCTAGGAAGAAGAGAAGGAACTTTTCACGAGGACACTTTGTAATGACTATCAAAAAAATTCGCACCTCTTCAAGTTCAACGCTGAATTTTCATGTTCAAGCTTGAGATTAAGATTGCTGGATATCGGCCAAATTCCTTTATTTGGCGTTTTAATGGACGAGGCCAAGTCCAGGTCAATAACAACGCAAAAACGAACGAGGGCAATTTCCAGCCACCTTGACCAAGTCAGCCTGGTCAATAAAGGATTTAACATATGGCTAGGAACAGAACTTTTCCTAGCGGAATCAAAGCAGAAAATTCCGAGAGGGTAAGCCAACAGGACACAGCATTCGCTTCATTTTGCCCGCTTGCAGTTTGGGCCACATAATAAAGAACATTCTCGTCTACTTCTATAAATACCGTGTGGTATTCAGCATTAACTTTCACTGTACCTGACGAATCGTCCGATTGGGAGACGTCTCCAATGTTCGGGGCAACGGTGCTTTGTTCCGTTGTACTCTTTTGCGTCGGTGCAGCTGTTGTCGAGCTTGTCTGCGCATCCTGTTTCGGTGTGCTTGTTGTGTTGGTGTGGTTGTTTGTTGTGGTATCTATCGGGATGGTATGAGTTATGCTGGTTTTATCAGCAGCTTTGGTGGGCTGGGGTGCTAACTTAGCAGGAGCAGGGGTGCTGGTAGTCTTGGGTACGGTATGTTGTTCCGTTTGATTATTCTTAACTGCAACGGAGATTGCAAGAGAACTCTTTCATTTCAAGCGTTAGACAGCCTGCTTTACAGACGAGACTAAACTCTGGTTTGATAAGTCTGCCTGCGAAGCAGCGCTTAAATCCGTGTTCTATCCCCCCGCCTGAGTACCAGGATTTGAGTACGCGCCATGATTGGCCTGTTTAAAGGCCATTGTCGATCTTCCAATCAAGATGAAAGGAAGTTCGAGTTGGGGGCCCAGAACAAGGATCTCGGCGCTGCTTCGCAGACGTTACTAAACAAGGTTAAATTACGTCTGTGACGCAGGCTGGGGCGTTAGACGGTTTGCTAATTTAATGCAACGTCATGGATGAGAGGAGACAAGTGACAATAATTCCAATCGTAAGTGAGCAATTTAACCCTAAGTTAACGTTCGTTCCGCCTTATAGCAACTGGAACCTTGGACCGTCACAACGATTGTTAGCATCCCTTTTATGAATATTGGTATAACCCCATTTCCAGGCAAATCTCTATGTAAAGAATGAGAATAGAAAGAGATTAAATCTCCTATTAAAAATTGTTACGAAGCCTCTCAAGTTTTTACCAAAAGATACATGTGAAATGATTAAAACCACAATTTTCTCCTCTTAAATGAATACGCATGACACATCACTTACCCAAGACATTCGTTGCAGCCTGTCCTTGACTGTTGTTCTTTGGCCGTAAAATGTCTGACTTCTTTCCTCCATTTTCTTCATTGAAGAAGCCATTCAGACGCTTTTGATCTTCATCCTGACTACTACTGGAAACATTTACCTTGGGGAGACCGTTCTTTATGTTAGCGTTGTTCTGAACATTACTTGTGACGCTGCTAGGTGGCTGGATATTGGTAGCCGAGGACGAAGTGTTCAACGTATCCATAAGATTCTTTATTTTTATAAAATCATTTGTTGGTGTTAAGACCTTGAGAGGTGGGGTGCCTGCATACTGCCGCCTAACCGTTGGACGAAACTTCGTCTGATTGTCGATCCGACCTGGTCCTTGTTGAGAAGCGGGAGGAACATAATTTGACACTATTCCCAACGGTTGAGTTTGGTCCGCTGGCTTCACAGCGTCTGGATTAGGTCGCGGCTGAAAACCGGCTAGCGGACGCTGCTGTGGACCGTACCTACTTGAAGCCTGATTTAAAGAAGCAGACGGTTTATATCTACTCCAGTCTTGATAATTATTACCAGGTTCCCGATTTTGAGACAGCCCCTTATCTCCTATAAACCCTCTATGAGTAGCATCAAGCTGTTTTTGCCATATTGAGCTCGTGGGTGGCAGAAAGGTGGACGCCTCTCTTGGGTATGCAGTGGGTCTGGGTTGATTTCTATTACGATAATCATCGTTGTTATCGTAAAACTTGTGCCACTGGTAACCTGTTGGCTTGTAATCGTCAAATCGTTGTGTCCATTTTGGATGATGTCGCCATGACCGGGTCTCATCCCACGGTTGTTTGTTCGAATACCAATGTGAGGGCATTGATTTCCATCCATTGTAATTTCTGTATCTGTTATGCCAGTCATAATATGGATTCGGTTGCCGCTGGTTATTCTGGTACCTGGATCGAACCCTGTGGTACTTGTAACCGTAGTAGTACGGATACTGGTTGCCGTAAGCCCAGTATTCATAGCTTTGCCTGTCTTTGCGGTTCTTGTATTTGCCGTGTTTTTTTCGATGATGCCTCCTTTCATGATTACCCTCCCCACCATAAAAATCGTCATCATCGTAATTCTCATTGGGTGTCCATGAAGACGAGTCAAATAATCCACCTGAATCCTCATAATCCGGATCTTCATTATCATTATAGTAAAAACGACTCTTCCATCTTTCCTTTTTTCTCTTTCTCGGCTTAAATTTGGGTCGTAAGTTATATTCCGGACGACGGTTGTGATGATAACCTTTATGATTTTCTTCTCCCATAAAGCGATTAACGGAAAAATCTTGATTATCGAGTTGATGAGAAGCGCCTTTAAATTCTCTGTGATACTCTTCTGGCTTGAACTTCCACCTTCCTCTGTCATGTTCAGGTGGGGCAAAATGATCATCAGAGCCTTCTTTTTCCCGTTGAAAATTTTCGTCATTGTTCTCTTCTTCAGCGGGTCCGTGTTCATGAGTACGATGACGCCTTGGAAATTTCTCCTCTTCATCGTGTTCTTCGTCGTTCACGACATGATCTTTTTCGTCATCTGGTTCGTATCCGTCTGCAGGCCTCTCCTTGATTCTATCAATGTCAACAACTGGTCTTAAATGATGATGACGATGATGTGACCTGTGAAATTTTCTGGCGCGATAGTCCTTGTTTTCTTCAGAGCTCTCGGCTGTGTCATGATAACGTTGCTTCTTTCTATTTCTCTTCTTGTCGTAGTGATCTCTTCGTATTTCATCCTCTTTTTCTTTCCTGTCTGCCTTTCCTACTGCCTCATCATCGTCATCATTTTCACCGTTAAAATCATCTTCCTTATTCTCATAGTCAAATTCGTGATGTCTATGTTTTGCTTTCAAATGCCTATGATATTTATGTCTACGCCTATGATGAAGAGCAGATTTATGATTTTCCTCGTGGTATTTATGTTCCAAATAATCCTTTTCGTTTTCCTGTTCATCGATGTTATGTTCGGTCACGTGCCTGTGACCATGACGTCTTTCATGAACTTTTCTGGAATGTTTCGCCTCATCATCATCATCATCATTGTCACTGTCAGAATCCTCGCCTAAAACAACCATATTCTTCTTGGTTTCTTTACTAGGACGTTCTTCTTTAACATCGTCATCAGCACCATTCTCATTCGCATCTTCACTGTCGTCGCTCTTACCACGTTCATCGCTGTTGTTATCATTGTCGTTGCTCTTTTCATTTTCATCGTCTTTGTCATCTTTTTTACTTGTCCACGAACTACCGTCTTCACGATCACTGTCATAATCATCTCCCTGATGGGTCTCTCCTTCATTATCGTCTTCGTGTTGAACAAACCTATGCCGTCCGGTTTTAATCGCTTCGTAATTCACTTCCTTCTTTTTCTCTGCGTGTTCTTCTTCATTGTCATTTTTAATCTTTAGTTTTTCTTCTGAATCATCTTTTTTCACAGCTTCGTGGTCTTTGGCATACTTTTTGTGCTGGTTATAATCATCACTTTCAGTATGATGTTCTTGATGAGAATGATCGTCTTTGTTATTTTCAGAATCTTCGCGACTTTTCTTTGCCTCGAAAACATGTTTTCGTTTGTGGGGATTTATTTCCTCTTCGTTTCGAGTCTTATGTTTATGATGTCGTTTTCTGTCACTATCTTTTTCATAAACAAGCTTTACTTTTCCAGGAATGATATTCCCTTCCCAGTCATTGTTATCATACTTCTTCGAATGTGCTTTGTGACTGCGATGGTTATGATGTTCAACCTTTTCACCTTTCTCTGATTTATCATCGTTTTTGGCCTTATCACGTTCTTTCCTTCTCTTTTTATGGTCACTTTTAACTTTAGAGTCTTCACCATTGTCCTTATCATCGCTAAAGTCATCCTTTCTAGCTGCCGTGGCTCGATGCCTGTGCTTCTTATGATGGTGATGCACGCGTTCACTGTCCTTCTCATCAGCACTGTTAGATGTATCGTGTCTGTCATGATGGTGTGATTTCTTCTCATCATGGCTCCTACCTTTCTCATCCTTTTTGGAAAAATGGGTTTCATCGCGATCGTTACTGTCAACATTATTATCAGTTTCTTTGAGGGGGAGATGATGATGATGATGATGACGTTTGCGGGTGATGACATCGTTAGTTATTTCCTTGTGTTTGTGATGCGAGTGGTGTGTTTCAGAATCCGGCTCTGATTCTTCACTTTTGTCCTCTCCCTTATTTCTCAGTTCTCCATCACTGTTCTTTCTTTTCTTTTTAAGGCTATCTGGACTATGGTCATGCTGCTTTTCGTCAGAACTCTTCGTGTGCTTCTCCCTCGATTGTATAACCTTTTTCTTTTCAGGTAAATGTTTGTGCGGGATATCATTTGACATCATTATGTCGAAATCAGCATCTCCTATATCATCCAGGTCAAAGGACAAATCGTGCTTCGAGTGTTTTTCTTTGTGGTGGCTACCACTAGTTTTAAATGAAAACTCAACACCATCACTACCGTTCACATTACGGAAATGAGCCAAGAGTTCACTCTTGTTATCCAACACTTGCTCGTTACTGCGTTGTTTTAATGAAAGAAATGCTCTGTTATAGGTGTTTTGATTTCTTTCTGGAGGATTTGTTTCCTGCGTTCGGAGATGAGCTTTGGAGGGAAGAGTAGACGACGAAGAACCGTTCTTTTTTGATGATGCATGGAATTGCGTTGTAAGTGGAAAATGACGTGAAACTGGGGGACTTGCCGTTGTCTGTGATTTTTTGGCTGCCAGCTTACCAGAAGATTGCAGATGGTTGATAATTACCTTTTTTCGATGCACAGGATAAATTGTCTTAGTTTTAGTAGAATGAAGAGTCATCGGTTGTTTCCCTCTTATTGTACCATTGTCATTTGTCAAACCCTTCTCACGACCTTGTTGCTGAGGAATCGTTTTACCAGAAGAAGTTTTCTTTCCCGACGCAACAGAGTGTTCAACTTTATTTTTTACTGATTTTTTGCGATAGGCAAACTTCATAAGGTCATCTATGACCTCGAATTTTGAAGACACCTTAGAGAACTTTTTCGTCCCTTTTCGTCCCTTCGTCCGATTTTTGTGGCCATCTATGGATGGTGTATTCCTCTGTTTTGCAGTGTCTTTCCTTTTTAAGGCAACGCTTTCCTTGGGCTTGTTTGCTTTTATCGCGCTCTTGTTCTCATCTCTCAAAGTTGATTTTTCTGCCCTTTCTTTAGATGTTACATTGAGATGATTTTTGTTGGCTATATGAGTTTTCACACTGACTTTTAGTTTGTCATTAGATGCTATGGGTGCCATTACTGTCTTGGTCCTTGTTAAAGTTGCTTGATTGTTGAGTGGAACACCATCTGAGCGATTCTTAGGTATCGTCTTTAGCGTCTCACTAGATGTAGGGACCTTTTTGGGTTTTGTAGGTTCTGTGATTGTCAGCTTTGCTTGATGAGGGTTTGTGCTGTTTCCTTTTGTTCCTTTATTTTGAACAATTGCTTCTCGGCTCTTAGAATTCAGAATATTTTCTGTCTTTATCGAGGGTGAAGGCTCTTTCACTTGTTTTAGGCTAGCAGCTTGTCCAGGTTCCTTTTCCTTGATGTGCATAGTTTCTTGTTTCTGTTTTTCGTCTTTCACACGACTCGCCTTTGTCAGATCACTCTTGCCTTTGACCTGAATTGGGCCCAACACATGACCTCCTTTACGACTTATACCATGATGAGTTAAACCACCTGAAACACTGTGTTCTGACTGTCTTGACACAATGTGCGATTTATTACCATCACCTACTGATAGCCCAAAAGTAGTGGACGCCTGTTTTGTATCCTTGTTCCGTGGTGGTGAGCCCATGTGGCCACCACTGGACGTCCGCTGCGCACTAGGTATCTGTCCTGTTCTGTCATTAGTTCTCACAGGCAAACTTAAAGCGGGTTGTTCTGGTTTAGTTTCATCAACGTAATCGTCGTCTGCTCCGAGATCGTCCAAATCTTCAGCAAGGTTAAGATTACTCGCAGTTTGTCCGTCGCTTGATTTCAGATATTTGACAGTCTTATTTTTCTCGCCCGATATCGAACGGTTTGATGTTTTCGATAGTTTGGTAACTTTTGTTGGCGTCAAGGCGTCGTGTTTTCTTAACTTACTTATACCACTCTTGTCGTCATGCAAGCCGAGATCGTTTAAGTCTTGAACAAAATCTATTTTTTCTTTTGTCGAACTTGACCTATTGAATTTCTGTTGCTTTCTACCTGTCCTTGAAACTTGAGTTTGCGAAGGTAATCTCGTCGCCATTTTCCTTGAAGTGTCTTGATTGGCCGACAACGGATCACTGTCATCCGACCCAAGCTCATGTACATCCTCGACAAGATTCACTTTCTCTTTAACAATGCCTTCTTTTTTGAGAGCCAGATGATTTTTTCTGTTTTTTGACACTTTTGGAGTGCTTATTTGGTAAGACAATCTCGAAAGCGCTTTTGATACCTTCTCCTCGTCATCGTTATCTGACCCAAGTTCATCTGGATCTTCAGCGTGCTCAATTTCCTCCCGTTTGGATCCTTCTTTTTGGGATTTAACAATCACTTGTTTTCCCAGGAACTTTTTATTTTGGTTTTCAGCCTCTGAAATGCTAGATTGTTTATGCGCGATAAAAACTTTCCGATTGCTTCCATCATCACCTTCATCTGATGTAGGACTATTCGGAACTTCAGCTATGGTACTTTTCTTACTAATACTGTCCTCTTTCAATTTTATGGTCTCCTTGCCTGCCTTTTGCAACTTCTTTGCTGTTTTCGAAGTTCTAGTTTCTTGAAGCAAATGTGTAGCTTTTCTTGCTTTTTTCTCATCATCATCGTCTGATCCAAGATCATCCGGATCATTGACAAGTTCACTCTTCCTTCTTAGGCTGTCTTTTTGTTTAGGACTGATCTGCTTGTTGTCTACCTTTTCCCGTTTCTTTGCCGAATTGGTAGTTTCGTGCAGCAAATGTTCAACGCTTTCCGATATTTTCTCATTACCATCATCATCTGATCCGAGAGCGTCTGCTTCTTCCATAAGGTCACTTTTCTCTCTGGTATTGTCTCTGTGTTTAAGTTTTCGGAGTTTCTTGTTTACCTTCTTTTCGCCTTCCTCTCTTGAATTGTTTGCTTCTTGATGCAATTTTGCAACTTCTTTAGAAGATTTTTCGCTATCGGCGTCCCCAGACCCGAGATCATTCAGATGCTCGATAATTTTACTTCTCTTTATCTCTTTGACATCTTCTTGGGAATTTGGATGACTGCTGTTTGCTTTAACTTTGCTTTTCATCATCGCACTTCCGCGTTGAGGTAAAGGAACAACGCTTCCTGATTTTCTAGTGGTGCCTTCGTCAAGGTCATCTAAAGCTTCAACAAGATCCATTTTACGTTTTTTATTGTTCTTATTCAAGGACGTTTTCTTCTGAATTTCACTGTTATCTCCAGAACCTTCATCACTTTCCCCGTCACCGGAACCAGAAAAGTTTACGTCAACCGTTTTTCTGGTTGTCTCGTATTCCTCGCGTTCCCCGGCAGATACTTTGTGTCGCATTGGATTATAGGTCATCGTGTCAACGCTGTCTCCACTAAAATCATCATCGTTTCCACTAAAATGTTTATCTTCTCCACTTGAATCATAACCTGATTCGTCCTCAGAGTCGTTCTGGCCTTCTCCTTCTCCACTTACATCGTTATAACCTTTACTGGAATCTTTAACGGCTCTAATTGGAAGCCTGTGCCCGCTTAAGTAACCATATCGACCCAAATCACCATCCCCACTTGAGTCAACATCTCCACTTACGACATCATCTCCACTCATTTCCCCGTCAGCGCTTAAACCCTCCTTTTCATAACTGCTGCTATCAAAGTTTTGAGAACTTCCTATTTCGTCATCTTCCAAAAAGCTCTTCTCTGCAGAATGACTGGCAAAACTTTCAACACGAACCTTCCGGCTCTTTAGGTCAAATTTCGACCCTTTGAAGTTCCAAAGATCACTGGCTTGATACTGACGATTACCAACTAAAGTGGGACTAGAATGTCCCTCATGTTTGGGTGTTTCGTTTCCCCGTGTACGTCCATGGATTGTCGTTTCTTTTCTGGCAGGTGAATCAGGGGGTGTCACCATGTTAGACACTTCTGAGGCCTGTTTGTCAGCTCCATTTACGTTTAACGCTCTGGTTTTACTTATTACGTGAGAAAAACTGTCTTTGCCCGATGATAATATTTGTTTACGTTTTTCTGTGGCACCCATTTTCCTCAACGGAACCCTGGAATATGTTACATCTGATTTGGCAGCGATATGCGCACCAGATAAGAACGTTCGTTTAGTTTCTTTGGCTGAGCTTGACGCAATTTTACCCGCTGCCAACTTGTGCGTTTTTCCTTTCTTAGGAATATCGGTGAAATGTCTAAGCTTTGATTTAGATGTTATAGTGGAGACCACCGGCTTGGTAGTAGGCGTGTCTTTGTCTGCATCATCGGAACCCAGTTCATCGGGATCTTCGTCATCGTCGTCCAGGCTTCTGGATACCTCTGTGAAAATAATGACAAAAAGCAGTTATTTCATATATTTACAAAACAGCTTGCTCTTATGCTATTCAATTCAACTCATTTTACACTTCTTTTTAGGGCATTTACGCAAGTTATATACAAATAGAAGAAGAAAAAATGGGTAATGAGTAATCATTAGGCTACGAAGAGATAACGTACATATGTGTGGAGTGTCCAAAGTAGCGGCAAGATTGGACACCGCCACGTTTAGATAAATGACAGTAGAGAAGAAGAAGAAAAAAATGTCGCAAATTTCTCTCTAGGAATAACATCAACCTATGCGTCAGCATTATTTCAGCACAAAAAGAACATTGACAAAGTTTCACACTATTATGCAAAAGCCTATGTTGCGGTAGTCCTCACAGTAGCAGCACAAGCTTCGTATGCTCGGGCTTGTGTTTATGCTTTTGTCTAACTAGAACCTGGCTTTCATTTTCTGGTCAGTCATATAACACATAAAGAGACCGGTAAGATATCGCCTTAAAGAACATCAAGGCGGCTGGATTCAAGTACCGAGAAAGCTTAAGGCTTGCGAGCATACTGCGTTTAGTTCTTGCTTGGGATTACTCCACCTTCTCATGGGTTAAGACTGTCGAGCGAGACTTTTTAGCAAGGTAAAGCAAGGCCATCTATTACTTTGAAAATCACTTACAAACTGAAAATGAAAATGCGACCTACAAAATGCGACCTACAAACCATTTACTAGCACACCTTAGTTTAGGTGAATGCTAAGGGAGGCTATGATTAGAGTGCTACGGACGTAGTCATATATCTAAGCCGGTGTTGAAGAATTGATCCTTCTTAAAATTCAACGAAACTGACCAACCTTTGTTTCTGTCAATTATGGCAATTTGCAAACCAATTCTTGATCCTTGTTCTGAATTTGTACCGTTACCAATGGCACCGGTAACGCCAAAGCACTCGTCATCTTCGATGAAGGATAGCGAGCAGTCACGTGACCTACAGCACTGAGCGCTGCATTGGCTGGCATCTGTTGGCTGCGCACGCAGTTTATAAACATCACGTGGACTTCTCCTTCCCAGGAGAAGGACCTGGAAACTAGGTACAAATCGTTGCGGGCACTTTGGGTTCGCTATTTGAGAAGTGTGTCTGATAAAATCTTTCCTTCCTGGAAGTAAAAAGGGGAATTATAATGTACAGTCGACTCCCGATAACTCGAACCTTCAAGGGAGATCGAAAAAAGGTTCGAGTTATCGGGAGCTCGAGTTACCTGGAGTTCGAAGAAAATAGCCGAGAGTAAAGTAAAAAACAGTTTTTACTGCACAGTGAACATTTTAATCACATTTAATTGTAGAAATGTCAAGTGAAAATTAAAAGAGCCTTCCAGATATAAATAAGAACGTAACGTGACAAAACATAGCCTAAATTTACTGTTTTGGGAAGAAAAACTGCTTCACGTTAGCCTCTGACAATCAACATCAGCCTCCACCAGTAAACTATACTCCTACAACACATCAATAGGAAATCCAAAATTTAATGATTCGGACGCCCGTAGACGGTTTTTTTCCCGACTTTTTAAGGGCTCAAAATATGGTTCGAGTTATCGAGGGTAAAACTATATAGAAAATGACCTGAGGGGAAACGAAAATTGGTTCGAGTTAGAGGGAGTTCCAATTATCAAGGGTTCGAGTTATCGAGTGTAAAATATCAGTGAATGTATGACGGAAATCCAGGGGAAATCGATTTTGGTTCGAGTTAGCGCGCGGTTCGAGTTAGGGAGGGTTGGAGTTATCGGGAGTCGACTGTACTGACAAGAAAAAAACATAGTAAGTGAAAGATTAGTATGGAAACCAGGAGTTTGGATTGAATGAAACCAAGAAGAAATTTGGAGAACGAGACATTTGAAGAGAACGTATTGACCCCATAAAATGGTATAGGCGATGTACCAAACATTGATATACTAAGGGGCTGGTTACTAGGACGGAGGAAGATCCTAGAAGGCGGATTGTCCTAGCGCCATATTTTTTTCCGTATTCAGTTTACGAGCAAAGTGTTTTACCTGTCGCTAGCGTTAGGATCTTCTTTCGTTCGCTGAGAGGTAGTAAGATGCTTGTTCTAGGAAGATCCTTGCACCATGTAAACTACCTTCGCTAGGAAGATTATAGTACTTGGGACAAACCAGACAAAAATGGCGGCGGGTCGTTCAGTGGGTAATCACGGCGATAAAGGCCAGTCATTTCGTTTGGGGTTACTACGAGCTGATTATTGTGATAATTCTGCTCAAAGGTAGTCAGTTATTAACGCTAGTTAAAAGTGCAGAAGGGCCAAAAATGCATTTTGTTTTTGTCGCCCACCATCTCTAATTCCCTCTCTACTGGGTACCAACGAAAAGTTGTTCCGCCTTCTAGGATCTTCTTGCCTCCAAGAAAACAGCTCCCAAGTCAAGATATTTATCCGTCAAAAGGGAAGCTGTTCATGTTCATCTTTGTTCGTTTTGATTTCGCTCTTCTCAGAGTAAGGGAGAACAGATTCAAACCACAATCGCTTTGCCTTCGAGTTTAAAATTCGGGGTAAATTGATAACAGGCGACTGCTTTCTCTACTGCGCCATCATCACGTACCAAAAGAAGAAATTAGAAACTATTTTGTAATTAGTATTGGCGGTTTTCATACGAATCTATGCAGACATTTTCCTGCTTAAGGGAGAGATTTATTTCGCTGTTGTGCTACTTTTCTTAAGAACACAGCCCTGTTAATTAATTAAATCTCTCCAAATTGACTAATTAGTTGGATGTATATGGTAATTGCAGCGACCATCTTGTTCTTATCCGTTTTTCATTGAGTTATAATAATAAATCAATACAGGAGTTGTAAATAATGATTCAAATTAACCACATATGGGTCGTTCCAAACAATTTTGTTTTTGAATTCAAAGTTGGACTTTTATTTGCTTGGTTGGCTACATCAAAATAACAAGTTCTAATAATTTTATCACTCAGTTCTATACAGCCACCCGCTTGAACCACCAGGAACTTTCAAAGCATTTTACGCTTCTTAGTTAGCACCTCTTAAATTTTTACACTCTAACAAAATGAAACGGTTGTACAAATCGCATATGATGGCTTTAAGGCGCAATTTCATGTTAAGTGCCTAAAAGCCTATCTTCATGCAAAAACGCTTATGTTTCGGGTTGATTTTTACACACTGAGTTGGAATAAACGACTGTTAACTTTAATTAGACCCTTAAGAATAAAGTCCTTTAGCATGGATATATCCTAAGCAGGCTGGTCATCGATAATGTTTAGATTGATAGTAGTTGAAAAAGAACTTTAGCAAACTACATTTTGATACTTTTTTTGGTAACTCTGGAAGCAAGACAGGCACAGAGAGCGCACAATTTGCCAATTCACATGATTCACAACATCAAATTGAAAAGTCTAAAAACAATTTCCAGAACACCCCCACCTGTTGCAGACACCCCCCAAAATCACCTTTCTACACTAAACAACATTTCAGCTAACAAAATACGCACGCGTAACCCTGAGATTGCACATTTGACGAAGTACCGACCTACCAGAGTTAAGTTTCTTCCAGAGAAATTTTTTCTCCTGAGAGGAAAGAAAGCAACATAGCTTCAAACGGACTCTTTCAGAAATCAAGAAATTTTAATTTCAGAGCCAAATCTCTCACATAAAGAATTCACTGTAGAGCTGCCGTTTTAGGCACCATGTAAAAAAGGAACTATCATTGTTACTCATCATTATGTTAACTTGAAAGGTGTCTATCTGTAAGTAAAAGGCACAATGCCCATCATTGTTGCCTGTGCAGAGTGATAGATTTAACAGAATTCATCTGAAGCAATAAAAGAAACGAAATTTAAGAAAATTTAAACAGCTGTGGAAACCGCCACCAAACTGAGTATACCATATAAATAACAGCTCAGAAAATGAAAAGATAACACAGCAAATACAGAAGGAGGAACGGACGGACAAACGTGAAATTGCAATGGTGTTTTTTGACACCCTGTTATTTTGAGGTTTTAACGTTTATTACTAAACTCCAAGTAGTGGTCTATTATCAACGTTGCCTTCTGATTGGTTGAGCTACTACTAGGCTATATGTTATAGCCCACTATTAGCGAAAAGCACCGGCTTTGCAAACCAAAACAATGGCGACTAAAGTTGCTAGAGCTAAAGCTAAAGTTGTTTTGTCTCGATATTTTTGACCAACTTTACTAAAACAATTATTCCTCTCACCCTCATGGCCTCTGAGTCAACAGCCCATTCGGGCTCGAGGAATAATTGTTAAATATACTGCTTGGGAGATATATTTGTTTGACACGAAGCTGCGATTTTGCTATTTACAAGTAATTTTCAAGTTCCATTGCGAATAAGGCCGCGTAATCGGCATTAACAGACAGTTTGAGCTTCACGTATACGGCAAAGGACAAACGTAAGATTCAAGTTGAGAATTTCTCAAAATAGAAAATGAGCAGATAAAAAAACAATTCTTATGGATAAAACATTGCGTGAAGCTACTTATTTATGTGTAGAAATAACGAACAGTAAACGACAAGTAAAGGGAAAACTTGGTCACTTGGTACAAATTCGCGTTTGCCGTTTGATTTTAACTCTCTAAAAACAAAATACACTAGACAGCGGTGACGCAGCCTCTCTAAGAAAGAATGGAGAATTTTTGTAAAATTGAAGGTCCTCACTTCACTTCAGATGTGCCGTATAAAAACCATACATTCCCACGTATTTTCTTTTCAAAAATGTTAAATCAATGAAAATAAAATACAATAATTTTTACACCATGGTTATCATCACAAAGACTAATACTTCAAAGAAAAATTTTATCAACGCATAAAGCTGAAAATTTGACAGCGCAATAAACAGCAACTGAGGAAAGTATTGCACAATAGCTTTCATATGAATGGTCACACCATAGGATTTCATCAATAGAAACAAAAGTTAAAACTACCTTGTACAGCAAAATAAAAAGGCCAACAGTAGCTTCCATTTGAATGGTTAGAGTTAGACAGAAAGACAAGTAAGAACTACCTGGAACAGCATAATCAGCAACAGCAAAGGAAAGTACAGCTCTCTCTCTTTCACTTGGAATTAATCAACTGTTACATTTAAAGATTTCAACAACAAACTCCAAAGATCGACAGAACATTCGAGAAAGAAACTCTACTATTTTAAAAGTACTATATTTTACCTGTATTTCTCGAGCTTCGTCCAATTTCCCTTTCATCGTCCATTAACAAGCGATCCAAAATTCTATGACAAACTTTAGGTTCGAAGCAGGACACACCAAAACAGTGGAATCCTTTGGAGAGAATCGCCAGCTCACAAGTTTCATCTCCGCAGCAAAGATCCACGCAGTCCTCAAGGCTAGAAACATTTCCAAATGTGCGGAAACTAAAAGCATTCCTGTTTTTGGAGGCTTGCTGGTTCGTGCATGACTTTGATTGAAGTTGGGTACCTACTAGTCAAAAACAAAAACAAACACATGTTGGTCAAGTGAACTCTTTCATATCCAATAGTGTCCACAATTAGTCGGTCAGAAAATCGATTTGCAAGATAGTGATAAAAAAATGCCAAACCGCTTGAAAGAGCAGCTCAACGCTCTTCATTCGCGCGGCCACACTTATGGATTTGCTCCAAAGAATCACAGAATCACAATTCATCACGTTTAAAGCTCGATCTTGCAAGATTAATGGGCACCAAAAACAAATGGAAGAGAAATCCCTCAAAGAAATATCAACGGGCTTCTTTAAGAGATTTACCGTTGGTGACTGCCGCGGAGAAAAGAATCGCTAACACGAAAATCCATCTATGAAAGTTGACAGCATGTTGTGTCATTCGTGTGAATTTCACCATAGAGCATTTATGAAGTGTATAGATAACGCCTGTTGGAGGCTTTTCCAGTTACACAAGCAAAACAAAACACCCTGTCACCATATTATCCGACGCCCTCGCTACGCTTCACCATAATAGCACTTGAATATCCAACAATTTTGAGCAATGTTCGCTAAAACTTGAAAAGATCCTCGAGTTCTCAATTTCCCGCGCTGGAAAGGATGGAAATCGACATTACGTAATTTTCAGGTTATTTTTGTAGAGCGACAAGTGTTTAAGGCAATCGGCCAATCACAACGCAGTATTTTTATTGTCTTCATGCCCGGCGATTTCCTTTCTTCCGGGTGGAAACATTCTTGGTCGATAAGCTAATAAGGAAAATCTTCGGACTTTTAAGGAGTACTATTCAATTTTTTACGAGCGAAATCTATACCGATTAATGAGGAAAGAGGAGAAATATTTCTCTCCAGGGATAATTCACGCAACTTTGACATAAGCGTCAAACGGTAGGTTTTTCCTTCCGTCTCAAGTCAAAGACGAATTTGCTATTCGTTCGAATTAAATGAATTCGATCTTTGTTCAGTGGTTCTGAGTACAGTTCAGTGATTTGATGAAGGTTGCTTATCCGCTCCACGAAGCTGAACGATAAGCAATCTTAATTGAGGAGAAACAAAAGCTTGTAAACTATGATTGTTTTTCGTATAGCTGATTATCTAATAAAATTAATCAGTATATCCACAGAAACTGTTGAAGACTACAGGTGAACCCTCTTATATCTCGGGAGATCACACAAAAGAACCACAAGCTTGCTTTGCGGTAGAGACAGCCCTCAAGAAAGCGGACTCGGAGATTCTCTTTGCTCCCCGTGCCGTTTCGACGGGGGTATCCTTCTGTTGACTTTCTAGATGAAAAGGCCGAAATTACTCTTCTATTCTGGGACTGTAATAAGTGATAATGTTGTGGCTTAAAATACATTGAGAAAAAAATTGCGGTTGCGTTGGTTTTGCTCATTGACCGCTTACAAACGCTAACGACAATTTTATCTACCAATCAGAAGTCATTTGTGTCTCGCTTGGCGCTCAGTTGCTTCCCCAAGGTTGAAACCCTCAAGGTGCCTGCGAACTAACTTGGAGTGCTCACCTGACTCTTTTATTGGACTGTGCCAGAGTAGTCACATCGTTTTTATTTTACAAATATAAACAGCAAGACCGAATGCAATTTTTGCAGCCACTGTGGTGGACTCTTCACGGTAAAACAAATCTTGCCATAATTATCCAAGCGCGCCATTCGATTCAACGAATTGTGTTCGTGAAAAATTTTGTTGAAAAGACGCGTTCTGTCGGAAGGAGGAACCGTTTCATGCAATTCTTCTTTTTTAAGGGTAGTTTTTGATGTATGTACCCTGTTTGCCCGACATTTTCGAGCGTACTGGGAAAAACAAGAGTTGAACTTCTAACTTCTCACTGAGTTCACACAAGGAAAACTTTTTTTTTTTTTATCTTTAATAACATTTATTCAATCGACAAACAACAATCAAAAATACTTACAAACACTACGATACTTACACTACTTACAATACAATATTTAGAATACAATAGACTAAGGTACTTACTCTGTTTACAATGTAAAGACTTACAATACTCAGTACTTTCAACACTACCTACTCACTACTCGCACTACAATGCACTATTTACAAGCAGTTCTAATTAGTAATTGAACTTCAAAACCACTATTTACAAAACCAAACATTCACGGTAAACGCACTTATATCTTAAGTGTCTTAAAGAGACAGCGATTGTGAAGCAAAAGATACACCAGGTTAATGCTGGAGAAAATGAGCAGAGGATCGAGATATACAAATGTATACAAAATCAAAGGCTTACTGAAATAAGGAGCTCACATTTTCCCATTTTTTTGGAACCAAACATTCACGGTAAACGCACTTATATCTTAAGTGTCTTAAAGAGGCAGCGATTGTGAAGCAAAAGATACACCAGGTTAATGCTGGAGAAAATGAGCAGAGGATCGAGATATACAAATGTATACAAAATCAAAGGCTTACTGAAATAAGGAGCTCACATTTTCCCATTTTTTTGGTAAAATGGGACCTGCAGTGGTCTCTATGTGGTAGAATGATTTGAGGTATTGCAGGAAGCCTGCTATCTTTGGCGAGGTTTCCCTTCTTTTGCTAATCCAGATGTAATTTCTGGCTAGAAGGAAAAGGAAATTAATTTGCTGGCAGTTTTTTGAAGAATCCGGCTTTAGACCAAGTGCAACAAATATATCTAATGTGTAATGTTCCGGTGTAATGTGGAGCAAAGTCAGCTTAAGAGATAAACTATGCCAGAAAAAGGCCACTTTAGGACAAGACCAAAAAAGATGAAGAAGTTTCTCCGGTTCATTATTACAAAAAGAACAATTTGGGTTGTCTTTTACGCCAATTTTTGTTAAGAAGTCGTTCGTTGATATTCGTCTATGTAAAAATTTATATTGGAATTCAATAATTCTTGTACTTTTAGTATATTTAGCGGCCAACTGGTAGGCTTCCCGCCAATTAATCGCCTCCACATCATTTTCGTTGCAGTCTTTTAGCCATTTCTGTTGATTATGGGATGGTAACTTGCATTTTGTAGAAAGCAACTTGGTGTATACAAGTTTGCTCGCACTTTGGCATTCTGTTAATCTTACTACAAAGGTTTCATAATTGTTGCAGTTTTTGATACAGTTTGTTTTACATGTAGTCCAAAGAGATTTTAGAGCAGACACTAGTCCGAAATACTTTAAAAGACAAACTTTGAGGCTGTATTTTTGCTGCAGCTCAGCTAGTGATAAAAATTTGTTATGTTCATCTTTCAAATGTTTCACTTTCGTAACGCCTCGATCAAACCATTCACGATAGAAGACGGGGCAGTTATCGATTCTAATGAGTGAGTTGTACCATAAAGTTTGTTCAAGAAATTGTTTCTCGGACGTTATGTTTTCATCAAAATTGACTTCCGCCCAGATTGAAAGTATCTCTTTTATAAAGTTATTCTTAATCTTGAGATTCTCAATGGTATCTTTCTTGTTTAAATTACTAGTGAGGACTATTGTGCCTCCAAATCGCTCTAACTCTATATCAAAAAAATATTTCCATTTTCCCTGGTTCTCTTCATCCAGATATTTTTTAATCCATGTAGCTTTCAGGGACTTGTTAAAAGACTGTATGTCTATCATTTTAAGTCCTCCATTAGCATAATCGTTTGTTATAATGTCTCGTTTGATTTTATCTCCTTTTCCATTCCAGAGGAATGAAAAAAATAACTTGTTTACTTCTTTGATAATTTTCACATTTGTATGTAAAGGTGAGAGCACATAAACGAGCTGAGAGGCAACCAGACTTTTTAGGACCGTTATCTTTCCAACTAGGGTAAGTCTACGGTATTTCCAGCAGCTCAAAACATTCCGGACCTTATCTAGTTTTTCATTATAATTTAAAGTTGCAGTTGCTTCCGGATCATTTGAAAACCAGACACCTAAAGCTTTAACTTTACACTTCGGCCATTTAAAGTTTCTTCCGACAATTGATATAACTCTATATCAAAAAAATATTTCCATTTTCCCTGGTTCTCTTCATCCAGATATTTTTTAATCCATGTAGCTTTCAGGGACTTGTTAAAAGACTGTATGTCTATCATTTTAAGTCCTCCATTAGCATAATCATTTGTTATAATGTCTCGTTTGATTTTATCTCCTTTTCCATTCCAGAGGAATGAAAAAAATAACTTGTTTACTTCTTTGATAATTTTCACATTTGTATGTAAAGGTGAGAACACATAAACGAGCTGAGAGGCAACCAGACTTTTTAGGACCGTTATCTTTCCAACTAGGGTAAGTCTACGATATTTCCAGCAGCTCAAACACAAGGAAAACTAAGAAATTGCGGAATGAATTAAAAAACCGGGAAAAGAAAACGAATGTTAATTTTCTAGGGTTTGCCGGCTGGCCAACTATTGGTGAATGAGATGTTATCGCACTAAAAACCATTCACCATAATTTATTTCTTGATGTTAGAATTTTTGTTCCGTACAAAATATTAAGAGCAATATTTGCCTCGTGCGCTTTCGAAGTTGTTAAACACGGAATAAAATTAGTGCAATCTTTTTATTTATAATTTGTCGATCTGCTTGTAAAATATACAAATCATACGGTAATTTATACAAAAGTAGGTAAAAGGTACATGTACAATTAAAGCAGAACAATGTATCAGTATATAAATATATGACAAATTTCACATTGTCACATATGTCGGACGACATAAAGTGCTATAGGTGCCTTGATAAAATCGAGTTAATTTCACTAAACTGGGTTATAATGATAATAATAATAACAATAATAATAATAATAATAATAATAATAATAATAATAATAATAATAATAATAATAATAATAATAATAATAATAATAATTCCGTTATTTACCCTTGGCAGCATTTATAGCACTAATGCTAGTGGGGCCGAGCACACTCCCTGAAACAAATAATTCAAATTGAACTTTTAAACAGGGTAAAGCATCCAAAATGGCCGCAGGCAAACCACCGGGCTATTTACAAGCATGGCCGAGGATTTGAACTCGGGACTACCGTGAACAAATCCAGCTAGCAGTCAAAGCGAGACTTGAACTCGGGGCCTCCGATTTGCAAGTTCAACGCTCTAACCACTCGGCCACGCTGCCGTTAGTTCTCGAGTGCTAACATAAATGCGAGTCAAATGGTAATAATAATAATAAAGTATGATAATAAGCTCTTTTTCCTTGGTGTAAGAGAGGTATTTAGGACTGCGGGTACCAGTTTTTCTTTCGTGGGGAGACTGGAGGGATGGTGAATGACGTGACACATCCGAGACTCACATGTGCGTTCTTGCAGTAAAAGTTGGTTTTCGTCACGTCACACTGATGTCCCAAGTAAGGGAATCCCGGACAGTCTTGGATTCTGGATTCCACGCCTTGGAAAACTTTAACTTTAACACTGTAAGATAGAAGAGAGGCAATTGCGGCAAAGGTGTTCGATGAAATGTGTGTTAATCAATCTCACAGTCTCCACAAACTACTTCCAAATAAGTACATGTACCAGCCAAGCTACTCTCTGAGAGAACAAAAAAAATTTATTCGTTCAAAGTGCAAAACTGAAAGATTTAAGAATAGTTTTCTTTTAAGTTATGTTTACAGTAGTTGAGAACTAGATATAATTTTGTTTCTTATTGAATATAGGAACTCGAAGCATGCTTTTGAATTTGTGATTTTATAACAGTTTTAAAATCGTAAATTATGAGGGATCATCTTTCTTTTATTAGTTGTAAAGCGCTTTTATTAATTAGTTGTAATTTTGTACAGTTTATTATTGTATTTGTAAACCTTATCGCAATTCAGCTCTCGGCTGCAAGTTTTTGAGGCGAATAAATATTCTAGGTACTGGATGCCGGATACATTGTTAGTGGAACTTGGATTCCGGATTCCAGTTATCAGTGGGATTCCAGATTCCATGAGGTTTATTACGGATTCCAAAGCCCATGATTCCCGATTCCACAAGTCAAATTTCCCACATTCCTGACTGATTCCCTTATATGGGGCAAACACTGGGTATTGGTGCCTTGTTCAGTGGCGGATCCGGGGGGGGGGGGCGCCCCCCTTATTTGCAGACCAAATTGAGGCCCGAAGGGTCGAAAAGATTTGTTTTGGAGACCCAACCCCCCTCCCCCTTATCTAAGGGTCTGGATGACCGGCCCCCCCCCTTGTCTAAAGGTCTGGATCCGGCACTGCCTGTTTGCCAAAGTATTGACAGGTTGATATTGGTAAAGGAAGCATATGAGACTTGGGAAATATATACTTCACCTTGAAAAGAAACAAAAAGAAAACTGCGATGGTCAACATAAAGCAATATGAACGGGCATTTTTGAAAAGAATAAAGACTTTAAAACTTTTCCCGAAATGCGTTCATATCTCCTTACGTTTATCACCGCAGTTTGCCTTTTGTTTCTTCTTAAGCTAAGATGGCCAAAAAACAAAAATATCTACGATATACCGCTTAATCCCAGTGTTTATAAACTGTTGCTTTTCCATCCCTTTTGTATTTCTTCTTTCCAAAAATATGCTCGAGTACTGTTTGACGTCTTGGTAATTCGAAACAAAAAATCGATAGGAAGGTTGTAAGCTGAAAGTTTTCTTGCCTAAATAGGAAAGGTTACTATTGCAACAGTTGTATGTTGAAAATATGTTGAGAAATTTAGGGCAGCTGCATGTACTTGTCAAACAAAAACTAAGCAAACAAATACAGATATTTTACGAAGGCAGTTTCAGTTGTCATGGTGCATGAAAACAAACCAGGATTTCTCTTAGTATATTCTCGGTTGGTATGAATGGGTGAATAGAAGTTTTTTGGATCTCGTGTCCAAGTAGTAACATTCTCTCTCATTCTGATTCATATTCCTACCGTCGAAGTTCTTTCTATAGCAGTGTTTGCCTCCTGTGCACCAAACCGGGTGTCTTTTCGCTTAAAAAGAGGATAATATACTCAAAGTGTCGATGTATTTTAAAATTTACCGGTACCGCCGCCGTCCACTTTAACCAGAGACTTTCATACGTAAAAATCGAAATTAAATTTTGTGTATTCTAAAATGTACGACGAGTTACGTAAATGACCCGAGAAAATAGGATGGGATTGATAAAGAAAGGCGACTAGTATAGCTTTAATCGAAAACGCATAAATCGAGAAATTAATGGCTCGATAAAAATTGGGTTGATCGGGGTTTTATTGCCCATCTTTGAAGTGTTTTGTTAACATACACAAACACACTCTCTCTCTCTTTCGAGTTTTTCGACATACCTATCAGCTAATAATCGGTAATTCCTCAAAACAAAGTTCCAAATATTTTATATCAATTACGACTGAAAATTTTAATCGAATTGACGGCAGTAATTGCCTCTGAGTTTTCTATTATAACTTTTTGAAAAATAACCTTCTCAGTTCGTTTATTTGTTATGTGGAATTGTAAATAAACTCGACAGTGGTCAATAATTTTCAAAGAAAATCTACGCTGTTAATTTTGTAGCAAACGTTTTGGTTGGTGAGAGAAGGCGATTGACTCCATAAGCCCTAACACTGATAAGCATCAAATTTCCCCTTTCAATAACAATGCCTTATAAAACAAAGTGGTCACGAGAATTAAGCAAACAATCGTACAAGACGAATTATTTATTTGATATTTAAACAAATTCTCCTACCTATTTGTCTGGGAAATGAATAGGGGCATAAATTTTGATATTGAGGTTCACAAAAGACATAAACGCCAATTTTATCTTAGGTACACCATAGCAACGATATCTTTCCTCAAAGTATTTTATTGTTCCACGTAAGCTTAATTACGTCTTACTGGTACAGGTAGTTACGGCTCGGCTAAAAATCAAAAGACTTTAAAGTTCCATTTGCGTAACGCTCATTCCTTGGACCAAATGTTCTTTTTAACTGTCCAAAAAAATCACTGACCGTGCAGCGAGGCGTTAACCATGTTCGTCAACAGCGATACAGATAACGCGATCTTCATTATAAACTGCACCTTTACAAGTGTTTTTTGCCTTCGTCGTGAATACAAGGATCTAAAGTCGAGTGTCCTGCTTGTCTTGGCCTTGAGTGACTGGTTGTCGGTCTTCAGTAGAACGCTCACCACTCTTACTCACGACATAAACCTGTGGTCAGCTGCTGCCTGCGTGTGCGAACAACCTCAGGTTTTGCTTCAAACAGGTAAAATGGGTTGTTTATCATTTACATGCGCAAACTGCAAGTCACGGTTTAGATAAATGGTAAGCGAAATTCAAGAGAGGTAAATTTCTTCCCGGAATCGCGTTCACCATTGTTCAAATCAGTTCCATTTACGGAAAAACGGCCGCGAAAGCCTTAAGACAGAATCCACCAGGAAATTGAGTAATTTTAATTTTCAGTGGACAAAAACCTTGTACCAGAATAATTTAAAGCATATTGCATTCTTTTTTACATTTTTCAAACAAGGTTCTTTTTTTGTATGAGCATGCGCACTAAGACTTGATAAAGAGCAAGCGACCAGTGACAGCGACCGTGGTAAATAGTCATAGGAACCAAATTCCTCTCTTTGAAAGCTTGCTTAAGATTCAAATGGTAGCAGGAACTTAAAAAAGACCTTCTTTGTACAAAATAAGTAAAGATCTGGTGATTTAAAGTGGAAACTGATGCGCTGAACGAGGTGAAAGAGTAAGTTTCTCAAGGATGGCTGATACGAACATGGCTGCTTGTTGTTGTTTGGCGCTCGACTCGTGTCTTGATTCCCCTTCACGAACCGCAAAGTTTGGCATAGAATACATTGTTGATGGGTAGATATTGAAAAAAATGTTCTTTATTTAGTGTTTGTCTATAAATCGGATGTCAATTAGTTTCTCGATGCCGTAGAGAATTTCTGTCAATAATTTGTGGATAGCTGATTTAGCCATATTTCAGGAGTGGATTAATAACGATCAGCGGGCGACTACCAGGCCGTTATCAGTTACAATAGAAAGGTGCTCCCTTAAGTATTTTAGCAATACAAAGTTTGTTTATCGGAAAATTGTAGAAGTTCTTGTTTTTGCGTACACTAACTATGTAACGCATTTCGCACAGAAGATTTTTTAAACGTTGCACTGTTGATTCCGAATCAGATTTCGAAAATGAACTCAAAGTGATTCAGTTTATTTGTCGCTAATGTGATTTCTTCTAGTCTTTCAGAAGTCGAAACGCCGAAACACTTCTTCTGGTTTTAAGCCATATTCGATTGTAATCAAAAGTTAAAGGACAATTTGGGATTGCAAAAAACTCCGAACTAAAAACAATACAATATAAGTAAGAAGTTAAAATTACGCGACTGTGCAAATCCACCTTTAAAAAGATGATTTGCCTGAGAGTTTAAACCAAACCATTGGCCATGCTATGATTCAGAAAGTCCACTTCCGGTTGACGTCCGTCGCTCAAAAACGCTGTTGCTTAAGTTCCCTTTTCTGAAAACGACTCTGAGTGTTGGTCCGGCCGGGATTTGAACCCGTGACCTCCCGCTCAGCAGACCGGCTCTCTCCCAACTGAACTAACCAGTCTTGGTTAGAAGAACTTTTGTTTTTGTAAACTTTCGAAAAGTTTAGTAAGTTAATAGCAAATTCGAAACTTCTCAAACACTGAAAGTGATAATCTTAACTTTGAAGTTCTTTGCTTAACTCTAGCAATGTTTTCTCTTTTGACCGCGTTGAACCTCCCAGCAGCATGGTCCGAGTTGATAACCCAGAATCGACGCCATTTGCGGGTGGAATTCTTTATAGTTAAATTTCGTCGTTCCTGCTCCGATAGGTTTTTCTCTGGGATTTTTGGCCAACCTTTCTCCCAAAAACTAACATTTCCAAACTCCAATTCGATTTGGAACTTTCGAACACGTGTTTGAACGACTCGGTAGAAGGGCTATCGAGGTGTTTGGTGGGGAAAAGAATTATTTTCACACCGATGTTTAAAACATTTTTTGCCACTAACTGATAAAAGAAAAAGGAGAAATGGAAGATATTTTCCATCTCTAAGATTTTGTTAGGTCGACTTGAAGCGACAGGAATGCTACAAATGTACTCTACCACTTCCCCAAAACTAAACAAACAATTTAAGGTAACAGTGATCTCTTCTTCACAGGCATTTTCATTCTGAACCTCGCCATAATCCAAATCAACACAGACCTATCAAAATTCAGCTCACCCAAGCGAAACTCCTACCTTCATCTCGTCCTCTTCAACGCAGCATCCTGTGTTCTCTCGAGGGCGATAATACAGGCCATAGCAATTACCCTGGACGATTCTGGCAACAATGAAGTAGCTGAATACGTGCTGGGTGTCCTTTTTCTCTTGGGCATTTACCGGACGGTGTTTCTGTCCTTGGACTGTCTGTATCACGCATACGCGAATACTGAAAACAGAAAAACTTATTCATTAACTGACCACGCAAGACACGCAGATAAGGTTGTAATAATCAACATATAAGGTTTGAGAGAAATTGGGATTGTTACACAGTAAACTGAAAAGAGCCAATTTGACCCCAAAAATGGGGTCGAAACGGGTGAGTCCAGAATGGTACTGTTTTGGGGGCCAATTCAGGCCCACTGAGATGGGGCTGTTTTGGTACCAAAATTTGGGGCTAAATTGACCCTTGCATCGGTGCCAAATTAGACCATGTAAAGGGTCAATATGGAAAACGCTAGGGCCACTTTGGATTTTCCAGTAGCCAAAACAGCCCCCTCAAATTTTGGCCCTCTTAAAAACTACCCCTCCAAAAGTAGCCGATTCAGCCCCATATTGAGCCATTATGGTTTTTTTAATTTGGGTGTGGGCCTACAGATTTTTTTCCCTTGATTAGGTATTGACAAATAATGAAACCAAACTAAGGCTTATTTCAAACATTTATTCATTTCTGAATAAGTTACTGTGATCTGTGTACATCATAACAACGCGTATTCCAACCTATTTATGTAACATTATCTTCGGTTAATCTCATATATGGTGGGGAGCTCACAGGAAACGAACAAGGGGAGTATACAGTTAGCCTGTTCACAGACCCTCTATTTTCTCTTAAGGAACCGTCGAGTGGTGCATAAAATGTAAATTTGCGGGGATTGATTAACCACGAGTGCAAGAAGGTGCCCCGAGTCATTCTCGCTCGCGCGTTTGCCAATTGTGGAAAAGAAAAAAAATACCCAACGTCTTTGTACAGGCTAATATTCTGTAAAACGTGTTTGATACTTATGGACCTGTTTAGGCCAGCTTTAAAATTTAATCAGTTAATCCAAATAAAAAGTCTCCGAACTTATCTTCTTACATGTCTTAGTGAAATATTTGAGAGAATTTGCCTAGAGATCATAGGAAGGTTTCCTTAGGTGATCACATTATTGATTCTCATAAGCTTTTCTCTTGATTATGTATTGATATCGTTAAGAGGAAATTGATGTTGATCACTCTAGGGACCCAAATGGAAAAACGTAACCAACATCTCCAGGCAGCAACTGCAACTTCTGTTTAAAAAGGTTTTTAAAGTGATCCAGCAATGTTAACTGGAGTTCCATGCCGAGAACTAAAAATGATCTTTGCAAACACGATGTGAAGAAAAAACAAAGTACATTATCACTGTGAAAGGCTCGCCTACATTTTACCAAATAAGTCCTCACGAGGCCGTCTTAATAGCTTAATCAACCACATCTTATTGCGATTTCCACGCGCGCGGGAACGCAGTCTCAAAGCGACGAAAATTTGGTTACTTATCCATCCGCGAAATACTAGTAGTCACCTGACCGTACATCCGTCCGCCTGCACCACAGGGAAGCTATTGTAAAATGTCATTCCTTCTAGCTAGTTTGGGAGCCTGCGACCTGATACTGCACATAGATGTTGTGGTCAATTGACAGCTGACAAAACAGGGTATCCGCTGACCGGTATCACATGACCATATCGCAGGCTCAGGTGTGTTTTAAAGTTATCCGCTGACAAGTTACCAGTTTTCAACTGATCCCAGGCTCAGCTCTGAGTGTATTTCTTTGAGATTGTGACAAGTTTATTGTTTAAAGAAAATTATAAATTCATTAACGAGAGCTTCGCTTTTGGCCTTGGGTAAATCTATATATTATAACACTAGCATTTACCTCAATAGTCAATGTGTGTTGCACCCTGGGGGGATTACAGCCTAAACAGAGATGTGCCGCCAAATAGTTTTCAAGGCCTTTCGTCATTAACAGGGCAAATGTTTTTCACTAACATAGGCTATCAGTGTGGAGTTTATAAACCCGATTCACCTAAACCGCGAGACAAAGTGTTAAAACCTGTCACACAGCGCGTTCACTTACCCATCTAAGGGTTAATATACCTACAGTAGTACTTTACAGGGTGTGATATTTTGGGTTATCGTACACAAGGTTACAAAATAAGGCGTTTTGTCAGTCGATCCCTCGCTTTCTTAGTCTGACATCATGCTCTCCCTACAACTCCATCACGTCTGTCGTGGGAAGGAGGGCGTTCTTTATACTTCCCCTCTCTTCTCAAAAAGAAAAAACAAAAAAAGCCTGATCGCAAGTCATCGGTTTCTAAAGCCCCAACCCCTTTGATTACTCGAAACACCAAAAATCTTCCCTTCCCAGTCAAACACTAAAATTTTACCCCGGATTTTTCGAAGTTACCCACTAGTAAAACCAATATTATAACTACTTATAAAAAGAAATACAGGACTTTTTGAGAATGTATACGTTAAAGCAAATTAAATACGTTTTATCTATGCACAGTTTCAGAACTTGAAAGCGCGTTCAATAGACGGCACCCGAGTCCGCGGTACGCAAAAGAAAGCTGCCCAGAGAAGAAGCAAAATAATGGGATGTGGGATGTAGCAGAGCTCTATTATTGTTAATGGGAGTAAATGTTTACAGATAGCGTCCCTAATAATTTGTTGATCCCGTTCTAAGTAAATACATCAACAATTCAGTTGTGTTGTGTGAAGTATGGAACATGCTTCTGTGATAAAAGAGCGGTTCATTTTTGGGATTTTTTTACAATAATCCCATGCAGTATTAAAAGTTTCATTCCATAGTTTAGTTTACGTGAAATACAGTTTACACTTACAACATGATGTTATTTTATTTTAATTTAATCAATTTTTGCTGCAAGGTCTTCTACTGTTTCGCAAGTTGTACAATACTTCACTGAAAAAAATTTCCATGATACGCTTGGAGATACGTCTGTGTAAGATTTATAGTTCTAATAACTTAATATCCTTCGCCCTATTTTGGGGTGTAATCATAGTCCAAAAATATCTATAAATCACCGATTTAAGTGTAGCAAAAACATTGTAACAGAAATTGCTCACATTCTTTTTTAAGTGTACAGCACATGGTTTGCTTGAGCCTGTGGAATTAACGATCTTGTTTGAACTGTTTGTATGTAAAAAAAAAAATGGATGTACTTTAAATGATGATGCGCGATTCACACCCACAACGTAAAACGCACCAAATTGAAACACATATGATACAAAAGGCATGTGGTGTCATATAGAAGAACAGATCATTAGCTACTTAAAGGTTCTATTGTAGAAAGCATCTAAATCCCCGCCAGACATCTCGAGAGTTCTGTCTCTCTAACAAAGCGAATTTTTAGCAGACAGAGTCGACTGCACACCCATTTGTACTTGGACAGATCCTCTTGTCTTCCTAAAGCTGGTTGCCGAGATAAATATCACGTTGATTTACCATTTGGGAAAAAATATAGAGAAATATTAAACGAACTCTTAGTGCTGTGTGAATAATACAAAACAACTTGTCTAGCACAGGGGCTTGATTAGAATAACAAGGATTAAACAAAGGGGTTAATTTTGAGGGGGTGGGGGCGACGGCGTGAGAGGTAAGAAGACAATATGTCGCCTGCACAGAAAACGGTTGCATGAGTAGCCAGTTACAAACTAAGATGGTTAAATTGCCGTTTGCACAAAACCATCCGAGTGAAAATATCGTGCATAACAGTTTGATTTAGTGAGGCCAAATCACTCCTGACATTACAGAGTAGGAAAAACGCATCACCAAAAACGACAGTCTTTCGCAGGCATTCAAAATATAGGTGGGGCCGGGAAAGTAGAAGAAAGCAAGGAGGAGAAAAGAACGGCGATGGGCCGTGCCCAGTAGTACACCATGCTTCTCATTTCGCAGTGTTCCGCTGCGCCCTCGCCCTCCCCAATATCTAACTGCCCATATTTTCTAAAGCTTTCAACAAAATAGCGCGAGAATTTATCATTGTTTTTATTGAAATTTCCGCTTTCTCCACGCGAATCTCCATGTCGCAGCGAAAAGAAAGGAACAAGAAAAATTATCTGACATAATAAACATGGTCCGTCCACTCTGATTGGATTTTTCAAAGAGCGTTATTTCAAAGACCTCTTTCACTTCTTATGAGCGATTTTAAAAACAATAGACGAGGTTTTGAGATTCTATAGTTAGAATTACCTTTCTGCACTTGGAACAGACTGTTAAAATTATCTGGTTAAGTACATTTGACATGTTACAACACCTTTTCTACTTCATTCTCAATTGTCAGACTACACGGGTTGACAATTCGTGACATCAGCCACGCAAAGGTATTTTCTTCTTTTTTTTCGTGAGATAAACCGTCTGCGGACGTCATAAAGACGGAAAGTTGGTTTACATATTTTAACCTTCCTGAATCGCGCCATGATGAGATATATTATACTTCTAGCCCAGAAGCGGCAGGGGGGAGGGGGGGATGCTCATGGGAATTCTTGGTGGGACTGCGCCGCCCGCGGTCCTGCAAATCCTGACCCTATTTCAGACCAAAAAACGTAATCTTCCACACCCATTTTCACACCTGGCATAGGCACCAATGATGTCATTATTACTTAGATTAGAAAACCAACAGAAAAATTTTGTAAATCAATGATATCCTTTGAGGCGACACATATCTATGCGACTTATATAAGGAAGGACCCCCCCCCTCCCCAATTGGCTTCTAACCTTTGAGTCAATGGACTGCTTCCTTGGTGTCAACGTTCATATGAAACCTCTCTTGGGGTTTTGGGTCGTGAAATTTGTTCTCGACGATTTTGCCAAAAAAATAAGAATTTTTCGTGAAAGCAGGCAAGGTACCTGCATAGTTATCTGCGAAGACAAACGGTCTCCTATTTAACCCATTAAACTTGTCAGACGATTGCCAAGGTAAATTTTTTGAATATTTTGCTCCAAAAATTGCAAGAGAGTACAGGTATCTTAATTAACTGATCCGAGAGAAATTGACCAGCGAAAATGGCGAAAGCCGAGAACAAATCTAACAAATAAAATTGTGGCATGGCTTCAACATTAAGATGCTTGCAACTTTGGTTTCGTGCACACATTAAAAACTTGAAGAGGCACCGCGTACGGCCTAATTAATAACAACACCAACGGAAAGCTGAACTCATTCATAATGGTTAAACATTAGAACACATCAACAGACTGAAACAGTCATCTTGTGTCTAATATAAATCATATTTTACAACACACGGGAAAACAAGTATCAAAGGATCTCCGGACTCGGTGTTCATCAGTCGTTAAACAGCCCGGTAAAATTACTACTCGTAATTTTAGGATAACTGATTGAACTTATTTTGATTGAATTCTTGTGTGCGATAGTACAAGTTAGAAAAATTAAGCAATGCCTTCTTTTGGTGCTGAATATCTTTGACCAGGTGGTTCTAAGACTTTGAATAAAACACCAAACGCCAATAGTATGACCATTCAAATGAAAGCTACTAAGCAGTACTTTCCTGTGGTACTGTTTATCATGCTGCACAAGGTGGTTCTAAATTTTGAGTATGTGGATGAAACTCTTGGTGAGACCATTCATATGAAAGCGACTAAGTAGTAGTTGTAGTGCTGTAAGTTGGTTGTTATACTTTCTTTAAAAAAAAATACCGTAAAATTCCGAAAATAAGCCCCTCCAAATATAAGCCCCCAAACTCGTAACGCAAAAATCCC